TGAGAGGTAGGAACACCCTCCCAAAGCGAGGTGGGCGTGATATTTAGGTTGTTGAGGTCACAACCACATGCGGCGTTGGAAAACGAGGTCAATGAGTCCACAGCTGCCGTAGCTTCTCTGATGAAACGAGATTTCTTGGATAAATCGGCTTTCGTTGGAGGACCTTGCTCTTGAAGAGAGGGGTACCGGGTTACCGGCTCGCATGTTCGCCTAAAACTCAGGACAGAGGGCAGGAAATGCACTCGGCAATATTGATTATTTGATGTATGAGGCCGGGGCCCCGGTATTAAATTACATGCATGGGGCATCATCGACTTCAGTTGACACACTATCAGCTGAGTATTGCTTGCAGCTCAAAATCAGTTTCAGTCCATGTGAATCAACTTGTAGATATATGTGTTGTTTGTCCGACTCACGTGGATCAAACTGGCCGTTGAGTTGGCTTCAAACGGGAACATGAGACCAACCCGGGATGCCAGGCACGGAGATCAGCCGTATGGTGTGCGTATGTTCTCTTTTGTTTTGGTTTTAGAAAAGCATATCTTTTCCTGTGAACGCACATGCAACAAACAAACACTCGGGACATTTCCCGGGAGCAAGAAGTTCGGCGAAGAAGTGCATGTGTGTGTGTGTGTGTGAGTGTGTGTGTTTTTACTCCAGAGGCAGATGCGTTTGAGTCTCCGAGGCGCCCGTAGTCAGAGCGAGTTCTGCCCAGGCGGGAGGGCGGGAGGGCGGGGGTTTTGCAGTGTTGGACTTCAGTCACTGAGGTCACCTGATCGTTTAACAAGAGTTTGAGAGGCTCTTGTAGAGGGTAAATTGGAAACCACCCCTTAACCACAAAACCATCGGGCTCCAAACCACCAATCAGAGGGAATCTGATTTAAGCCTATGATTTTTAGTACGGAGCACCCTTCCAAATGATCGGTGGACAATAGAAAAAGGTCTCGATTGTGTTTGGCCAATCGACTCAGCAAATGAGCATTCCAACTGGTGGCAGTTTACTCAGTGGATGCCACCTTTCGGGAACGAATTCCGGTGACCCCAAGAAACAGCGGGTTCCTTAGGTGGTTCCCAGCGGATCGTCAGCCTCCTTAGGTTTTTAAACAAGTTGTTCGGGTTTATAGTGGTTATATATATATATATAGGTTTTATATAGGTGTATATTGGTTGGGTTTCCATTTCACGCACTATTGTTTTTACTTTAGCAGGGGGATCAGTTTTGTCAGCCCAGAGAATTGGGAGAGGTGAATTTGAAGAGGGGGGGTAGGATCATTGCGGAACGCACCTTCCGCCCTCCCCAAGAAAACCCCAGCAGGATTATTCGTCTGGCAAAATTGGATCGTGACAGGGTGGGCGCCGTCAATTTTTGGTCAGCTCACAGAATCGTTGCCGACGGTATCCTTGACCTGACCGGGGACAAATGGCTTACCTCTTAAAAACACAACTTTTGAACTTTCTGGGTAACATGGGCTATATGTCTGTGAAAGATTAACTTCCCCAGGGCTTTGAGTTTTAAGGGGTAAGAAAAACAAAACTGCGGGACTTGAGGGTTTTCGTTGCTGCCCGCTGCGGGAGCAGCTCGGAGGGAGAGGCCGCAAGCTTTCGCCTCAACGGGTTGCTTGAAACTTTCCCCCCCGAGCCAAAGGTCTGATCGTAGGCTTAATGGAAAACCAATTGGTTTCCGTAAGAGTCTAAGGAGCTATACGCAACCCAAGGATGGTCGAGTTGGCCGAGTGGCTAGCAACCCAAGGTGTAACGCATTTACCATGGTTGTAAACCCGCTACAACCAGGGTTTGTAAGCATTTAGCAATTCGTCTCAGAACATCCAAGTGCCCCCTTTTTTGGTGGTGTTAAGGGAAAGCGAATGGGACAACCCAGCCATTTCTTTTGTGCATTTTGCTTGGCTGTTAGGACTTTAAGTGTTTGCCAACTAATGGGTTTTCCATTAAACCACTAAAAGTTAGACTTTTAGCAGGTGAGCAGAAAGCAACCGAGATTTGGGGGGTCCTCTAGAAAGGTCCAGCTGATTTTGAGTGGCACTGGCTGATCGTCTACGTCTGGGTAGATCCCTAAAAGCGACGGCCACCGGAAGTGACTGGGCAACTGAACTGCGGGATCGGTTGCAACCAGTTTGGGTGGCTGGCCGGTTTCGGTCGGCCGCTTGCTTGCTTGGTTTGGCACATGGTTTGTGGGCTGCTTGCTTGCTTGCTTGCTTCAAACTAGTGCTAGTCCTTAAAGAAGGTACAGCTTCCAGTATGATTTAGTGGCAAGCACAGGGACGCAAAGTGACATGACATGGAATCCGCCCATCAACAAAATGGGTGACTGAGGCTCTATGGAAGAGTTTTCCGAGCTTCCTTCTTCCCGCTTTAGTGGGATGTTTGCAAGTCTTCAATCCACTTTGGTATGTATTTTAGCCAACCAACCCCCCCTCCCCGGCTTTCCTTTTTTGGCTGGAAGGAAGTGAAAGAGTTTCTGAAGATGTTTTGGTGACGGGAGATCCTCAACTTTCTGGTAACCCCTAGTTGGTCACTTGGGTTGGTGATTTAAATTTGAACCCCTGGTTGATGGTAACTCGGGTTTCCCGCCAGCACCTCCAAAGCACCGGCAAAGCCCCAAACCACCCTTCGAGGGAAGCTCAAACTTCACAGTTCCCCTCGCCGTATTTTTGGCTTTCAGAGTTGCCTGGATTTATCTCTGAGTCTGAACTACCGAGCTCAAGTGATTGGTGGACATGAACCCCCGAACTCTGAGGTCCACCCTTTGATAGGTCCCTGTTGTCTACTTTCACACCCATATCCCACTAAATAATGTGGTTCACTTTTAGCAAGGGACCAACAAGCCATTTTCACTGCTTTGGTGGCATCCTCACTTAAAAAGGTTTTTGCCCCATAGGTTCCTGATCTTTCTATACTGAAACGGTTGCAACTAGGTTCATCTTCAGGGAGTCTTGAGACTCAGACCCCCTACTCAAAGTTGGATTGACCGTTGGATTTATATCCCACCAGAAGTTGATATCACGTTTAGCAAGGGCTCAACGAACCGCCAATCAAGTGCATGAGGTATGAGTGTTGGAGGTATGGATGCTTATATATACCACCAATGTAAGCTTGTATGGTAGTATGATTCCCTTGTACAAGTGGTATACAACCTCCATACCACCAAAACTGAGAATGCCAACCTGCTAAGCCCGAAACCTGCATGTCTTGGGTCAACACGCAGCAACACCGCCAGTTTTCTCGAACGAAAGCTTCGCTTCAACCCTAAAAAACAACTTCCTTTGGGCTTGAGAGGAGCTTGAACCCAGTTGAAGCTTCAAGTCCGCCCACCGGCTTGCGCTGTTCGGAGCGGTCGCGAGCAGGCCCCGGCCTTGGCCGGAATGGGGACTCGAGTCGAGGCGGGTGAACGGCGGAAGGTTATCTACACGTCGGGTGGGCGGCTGTTGCGGGGAAGGCAAAAGGAAACCACCTAGTTGTTGTCTTGGTGGCCCCCAACCGTCCGGTTCCTTAGCCTTTTAGCCTTTTAGGGTTTAGTGGTAGTTTCCATTTGACCCACTAACAATTAGTCACTTTTAGCGGGGGATCTGAGGGCAGTCCAGTTGTTTTTCCTTGGGGTACTCGGGTGTTAGTAGCTTGTAGCCATGGTAAGTTTTTTCGTTGGGGGAGGCACTCCCGGTGCTTCCAGGCAAGCCACCAGGTATTTTCTTTGGTTACCTAATAGATCCCAATAGTGGCAACAGGACGGGGACTTCGTTGTTTTATGTGTTTCCTGTAGGGGAGGGACCTGGGTGTCAGCAGGTTATAAGCATGATAAGTTGGTTCGTTGTCGGGTGTTAGTAGGCGATAACCATGGCAAGTGGGATGGGGGTTAGTCACCCAACCGCATTTATAACCTGACTAGGTATGAAGAAGCAAGCAAGGGCATGAAACGCCTCTTGCGCTGCTTACGCAGTGATTCAAGCTACAGTTAGGCAACCCGAGGGTTGCTTCCGAATAGTTTTTTTCTAGGTTTCCCGTTGCCAGTTATAATGGTATCTACAAGCCCCGGGTGATTTGGCTGTTTCTCGAGGACCTTATTCAAGGATGAGGGGATGAGCAGGTTGCTTTGTTGGAAGGACAGCAGCAGGAATTAGCCGGAACTGTTTGGATGGGATCGCTCTTGGGATCGCTTTTGGGATTAATACAGGACGAAGAGACTACCAAAAGGACTCAAAGAGATCCAAGGAGGGCGGGCTTCTGGGGGAAGCACCCTTCACGGGCCTTTTTCAGATATATAGGTGTTGGTGGTGCGGATGTTTTCTTTTTCTTTTCTTTCTTTCTTGTTTTAACATTTGCATAACGGGAAACTACTGCGATACAAGCTTATATTGGTGTTATACACTGCAAAAATCATAACTCAGAATGCCCTTGTGGATTTACTCCTTAAGGCATTAGACGAGTGCCAACTGAGTGCAAGTACCAAAAGGCCTGGTGATTCCCAGCCATCCCCTTTGGTTTTTTGGTGTTCAGGGATTAGTAGGGGGTTCCATTTATCCCACTAAAAGCTACACTTCTAGCAAGGGATCTAAGGACAGCCCAGTGAAGTGCATCCAAACCCATCGTGCAGGTAATAGAAGAGTCAAAGCAACAGGGTAAATTGCTTCTTGGCACGGCCTGAACCTTTGAACGCGATCGACCAACGATGACTGACGGTGCCCCACCAAGAGTCAAACATGTTGACCTGTTACCAATAGGAGTCATAATCTTTAAGGATAACATGTACTATACAATGCACTACCTGTAAAAAAAGGGTCAATGACCAACCATTCTTTTGGGTAGTGACCAAGCATTTTTTAAGGGTCAGAAGGAGACTGGTTCCAAAGACTACCCACATAAAGAGGGGCCGGGATTCCCTATCACAGAATGGGGGGACAAAATTCTTGGAGACTCCAGGTACAATCCTCACCATGGGGTGCCACATGGTCTCCCGCAGTCGCGCGGCCGGTCGCCAGGCTCCGGCAATGGCCCGGGTCCTGGCGCCAGAGGACGGGCCGTGTGGCAGGTTGAAGCCATACCCCAGGACTCCAGGTGCCCGACCTCTCACTGTTTCTTTTTTGGGAGATGGTGGATCTACTAAAGACTACAGAAAGAATTTGGTACCCTTTTTGTTAACCTCTCTACTGGAAAACCTGGCATACTGTGGATGGTTGCGAAATCCTCTTAGGCACCACCGCTCGGAAATCCTGGCTTCTGATCCGATTCCTCTGTAAATACCGACAAACATTGGCTTCAATCATGGTTTCGAAGTGGTGCGAACGGATTTCGTCTATCCACAGTAGGTGTCCTGTTTGGGTGATTCGGTGGAAAAATAGATGGCGATTCCTGGTTTACCTGGTGGTTTTTTTCTCATCTACCAGGGAAACCCATCTCTTTGCCCCGAAAGGACACCTATGGTTGAAGCCCACTGTGAACCACTGTTTCCCCTTGGTGGGTTCAGCTCTCTTCCCTTGAGCTCGCTACTGTGGGCAGGGGAGAGGGCTGGGAAATGAAGCCATGAAGCCATGAAGAGCTTTGTGCAGATGGTGAGGTAGCCACGCCCATTTTTTTCGGCGGCGGTACCACGTAATCCTTTGTGGTGGTTTAAGCAAATCAACTTTTGGGCCGTGAGTTTTTCCCTTGACGTTTGAAGGGACATCTCGAGCCCTGCTGTTCTTAAAGGAAGGGGGGACCTTTGCAGGATACCTGAAACCCTTTCGGCCGCCCGGCCTCTGGCCAAGGGCTCATGCGGCGAACCCGGGTTGGCCCTTCCAATACCTGGAGTCTCCATGACCCGAAATAAAAATGGGTCAATGATGTCTTGGAAAGATACCCTGCCAAGCTTCTATGCGGCTTCGCCTTGCCCCAGACGGAACTCCAAATTTTGGCGGTCTTACCAGATCTTCAACCCTCAGCACCCCGCTTTCGAGCATCAGCAAGATTTGCAGCGCTGTATTCCTTTGAAGGCGCAATCGGACGAAGGGACTTCTCAGTGGAAGATCGCTGTCTTCCGGGGCCCTGTTCTCTTCAGTGCTCCAGCGAGCATTGAGCGCTACTGGTTTTGGTCTTGCTCGGGGCACGAAGAATACAAGAAGGCCCATTCCGGCTTTGAGGCTGCCAACGCCGTCATTGACGGCTTGATGGCCGAATTCGCCGCGCAAGCTCAGTCAGTCTTCTATGATGGCATCTCCGTCCCTGAGCAGGGAAGCACTTGCGGCGTCTTCGTATCATTTGAAGGGGATTTGCCCGCCCAAGCAAAACTGTTCCACATGAAGCATAATCTTAACGCTGATTCTAACTGCGTGTGTCCGTGGTTTCTCGTTGGGTGTGTTTCCCGTCGCTCACATTTTATGGGTGCTGCCGCGGTTTTCTGATGAAAGGTTCCAGAGCCGCACCGATGAAATCGTATCCCTCGAGTGCAATAGAACCCAATGGTTTCAACTACCCCCCCCAATACCCACTGAATTCAGGGCACGGTATGTGAAGCCCAGACAGGCGGTATTTACTAGGTTCTTCAACAGATCCTGAAAACATGTACCTGGGATCTCCTTCTGACCCTTCAAAAATGGTTGGTCATTAGCCAAAATAATGGGGTCAACATGGGTCAACAAAAAGCTACTTGGAGTCTCCATGACCCTCAAAAAATGCGGTCATTACACAAAATACGGGGTCATAGGTAGAACCTAGCTGACATAAAGGACGGGACTGCCAGCTTTTTCAACCATCGAGTACCTTCCCATCCCAAACCCGGAGGCGGCTCACCCTCTGCAGCCTTCGGGCCCTCCGATGATTTCACTCAGGGCGCTTGAAGACAACCCAGGGCCGGGGGCGCCTACTTGCGGGTTCAAGCGACTTAGCAGGTTATACTGTGGATGGACAAATTCCATTTGACACCAAATTGAAATCAGAGGAAACCATCGCTTGTTGGCAGGGAAATCGAAACATTCCAGGGTTTCTTAGGTGGTGCAGGATTTTGTCCATCCACAGTATCATCTTAAAGCCATGGTTATAGGGAGACTAGCCCCAGTTACCACACGGAGAACAATGGTGCAGCCTACTATGGTTTCCTTTTGGCTTCCCTGTATAACCAACCAAGAAACGTGTTTACTTTCTAAGTTGAACAGCCAAGCAGATATTTGCCCAAACCAATCGGTACCTTCCCCATTCCTTCCAGGGATACTTCTTACAATCCTTCGAAAACCCAGGAAAACAGCACCACCCTCGATTTTTCCGAGAAAAGGAGAAAAACAACACGATGGCTTTCGACGGTCGGTCCACCTCCCCGACTTGGTCTGGCAGGGCATTCGCTTCCTGAGTCAACCCGTACCTAGTGCTTCGAGTTACTGTAGTCCTTGGGTGTTCGTTGCATTTCGTTGCCAAGTTAGTAAGTGGTTGGTAACTTAGGTTACAACCCACTTCTAAGTCCCTCATTCAGAGGGGGGTAACCTTGTCAGGGGGTGAACAACCCCAAGTGGCGATCACCGCTTGCTAAAATAGGGCGAGTCGAACATAGTAGGCCTGGGTTTCGTGCCAGGTTCTACACAGGGCCCAAGCACCCATATTTGAGGTCTTGGGTTTGGTTGGAGATTGGTTCAGATTCCCCAAAGCCACAAACAGAAGGTATACCAAGAAACCCTCGTGACGGTTTCCCTTGACTCTGGAAAGCTTCACGAACCTTATCACTTAGAGGAAGGAGAAGTCGTAACAAGGTTTCCGTAGGTGAACCGAAGGATCATTCGCACTGACCGCCCAACGCTTCGTGAATACTGCATTGTGTGACTCGAAGAGATGCACCAAAATTTGGCACCTCGGTAGATGGAACCAAAGACTAACACATGCGCAACCCTGGCTTTTTAATTTTGAGCCACACCCAAATAGAATCTGGGCTGTCTGTTTTCAGATCCCCTACTAAACAATTTTAACTTTCAGTGGGTGAAAAATGGAAACTGCCACTCAACTCTACAAACGGTTTCCCTCGACTCTTCTAGATGCCCCAGTAGTTCCCTTTTACCTTTTTTTGGGGGAGGGTTCCCCTACTAAAACAGACTACAGAAAATGGTACCCTTATTCTAACCTCTCTACTGGAGGACCTAGTCTTGGAAGCACCCATCGACTGCCTTTGCTGACCACTTCGACACAGGAGCTGCCTGCCGAGCCTCAGGCGTTGCCGCGTTGCGACGGCTGGCGGTGGAGCGGTTCCTCTCAACTCAACTCCCAGTTGCGACCGGTGGATTCCGGGTTTTTGGTTTCAACCCTTCTTTTTGGGGAAGGACTTCCCCCTTAAAGTCAACCAACCAAAAAAAGATACGATTCATTTTTTCATGGTTACTTGGCATCTGAGTTGTTGCTGAACTTACCAACGGCTCCAAATACCTTTTGTTAGTTGAGATGCATATGGAAAACCGATCGGTTAGGGAAAATGCCCATCCGGTTTTAGAAAGGGAAGGCCAAAGCACACCGCAGTGTTTTTTTGTTTTGTTTTTTTTGCGGGGGACACTGGGCACCAGCTTATAGTAGGTTGGTATTCCTGGCTCGGTTCCGCGGCTGGGAGTAGACACGCGACACGGAGTCGGAGAGTCCGAGGTGGGCTTTCCCTAAACAAAAAGAACACCCCGCAAAGGCGACGCCCCCGGCCTAGTATTCGAGCTGATGCGAGCCAAGGACATGAATTTCTTGTTTTTGAAGCGATCACAATGGAGGGTTTCAAAGTTCTTGGATGTTCATCCTAGTACCCAGAAGCCAACGCTTCAACTCTGAACTTTTCTCTTTTCCCGGCCCTCGCTGTTGGGCTGAGCATCTCCGCTTTTTGGTGATTTTTACTTGATCGGAGAAGAACCCTGAGCATCCTTGAGGCCATCTAAAGCAGCGCAAGAGCCAGCGATGTGCGTGAGGGAGCAGTCCTGCAACTCTGGCATCCAACACCCGGGGGTTCAAGCCACAATCAAAAACAAAGGGGGGTAATAGAACCCACCATTATTTTTTTTCGTTCAGGAGCTTCAGCATCCAAATTGGGTCCTTGCCATAGTTTTAATGGGGGCAAGGGACAGTGGGGCAACAGTTATTCAGCATGGGGACAATCCGGGGTCCTCCCGAACTTTGTTGGACGCCGCAGGATCTACCGTATTTACTCGCTTGTTGTGGTATTTTCCATGACTTGCCCACTGTTCCTGAAAAAACCAACAACCCCTCAAAACGACCCCTAGAAACTTTAAACCTGGAAATGAGCTAAGTGGTTAGCAACCCCAGTTGCAACCCATTTGCCATGGTTGCAAGTCCCCAAGAAAACCAGGATGAAAACCGGTTGGCGGTTCAGAACATCCAAGTACAACCCCCCACTTCTAAACCCATGGTTGAAGAATTCCTAAGCCCGCATCTGCGGGATTTACCCCTCTTTTTTTTGGTGGAAACCTTCCTAAGCCGCATCTACAGGATTTGCAATGATTTGCACCTCGGTTTTTGGTGGAAACCCCCCAGTTGTGCCCTTTGTTGCCCTTTTTGGGGGAGGGGTCTCCTACAAAATAGACGTCCAGAAAAAAGTTGGTTCCAACTTATTCTAGCCTCTCTACTGGAGGACCTCGCCTAAAACAACGACCCTCCGCCGGCGCCAGGTGCCCTGCCGTGTGGCGGTGTCGCCCCGGCCCATGACGCCACCCAGGCCTTCGATCCCCCGTCCGCTTGGTCTGGGAAGGAACGTGCCACAAGGCCTGAACCAAGAAGTTGGGCTCATTTTGTTTGGGCTGTGTTGGGGTCATTTTCCTTCATGTTTTCGGGGAGTTCAAAAGAGTTTAGGACGGTTTCTGGTGTTCAGAGTCAGCTGGGGTTGTTCGCCTACCACTTGGGGGTGACTATGGTACACCAACCAAACAGGGCGGAACCCTTTATGCATGGAAATGGACTGGGCTACTGAGGTTGGGAGTCCTGAGCCATTTTCTGTTAAAGGGAGGGTGCCTTTGTTGGGGTGGGTTCCGTGTTGGTTTGACCATTCCCACCCTTGTGCTGCAGCATTTCCGTGACGTGGGGATTGGATGTGTTTTCCATGCGGCAGGCTTACAGACCTCGTTCAGGGAATGGATGTGGATTTTTGCAATGCCGTTGGATCTTGCTCTTTTCGATCCGATGCTCAGATCATTTCCTCGACCCCTCGCTTGCCATAAGATGAGATGACTCCTAGAACGGGAATCCAAGAGGTGGATTCGGCATTCGGAAGCAAAGCCTGGAGATGTTGGCATTCCAGTTGTTTCTCACCTCTAGTTTTAGGTTGCCCTCAGTTGGTTTGTTCTCGTGGGTAAATGGGTGACTGCTCCATTTCAGGCCAGTCTTAATGAGACAGAGAAGGGCCATATTTTCTCAAACGAGTGCGGTAGCAAGCATTTTAGGGCCAAATAAGCAGAAACAGCTGGTTTTTGAGAACCTGATGCCCGTGTTAATGAAATTCAGGGCTCGGATTGTCTCAAACATATGTGCTTTCAAGCTTTTTACGGGGGTCGGAATCTCGCACACCTGGCCACACTTGGCGCCCCGGTGCGCCGAATAACACCCCACAGATTTGAGAAATCCTTATTTCGGAAACCACCTCGTAATTCGGGGTTTGGGGCTCGCCTCAGGCCAGTGAGCTCGCTATAATTTGTCTAGATCTTCATGCGTTTTTGCACGATTCTCATCTTAAGGTTGAGGCAAAGGTGGTTTGTACCACCAAACCTCCAAGCCTCCAAGCCACCAATCTATTTGAGGGAAGCTGATCGATCTATTTGTGTTGAACCCGCTGTTTTGTTTACTCACTTGAGCGAATCGACCTTTTAACCTTTTGGTTTCCCCTGTTTGCGTTACTTTTTTTAGTCCCTCCACAAGGTGATCACCACAACCCAGTTGCCCAGTGGTGCCCATATTTCCTTGTTTTTGGGAAGGGTTCCCCCTTAAAGTCAACCAACCAAACAAGGATGCCCTTTGTTTCCCATGGCCACTGGGCATCTGGTTTTGACCCATACCCATAATACCATATGTCCAGTAGTGATAGATTCCAACTTCAAAACCAACAGGAACCCACCCTCCCTACGATACAAGTGTCTGTAGTCTTCTGTCTGACGATTTACAGGACTACGCAGGGTTGTTTCCTCCATGTCCCCTTTTGGAACCTCCAAAAGTGGTGGTTTGAATGGACACCAGCAAAATTGCAACTTTTTGAGGGGAAATCCAGTAACCCCTGAGTAAAGACCGGAAGTACATGTTTTGGGTAACATACCAATAAATTGCGTTTTGAGAGGTAGGAACACCTGATTTTTCCAGGCTTTTTTTGGGGAAGGGGGGTCTTGAGCAACCAGCCGAAAAAGGATGCCCTGATTTTTCCCATGGAAATCCAATGGTGTCTGAGGCAAGAATTCACCCCACGTTTTCGCGTTTGACACCCACCGACGATGCCCCCAGATCGGCGGGCGGCGCCGCCTGGGCATCTCCGCCCAGCGTCCTGCGGGGCCCCCGAGCAAACCAGGCCAAAGCAACCCGGCTACTCAAAAGCCTCCCCCAAAACGGCGAAAACACCAGCAGTTGTTGTTTTTCTGTCTTTTTCCCAGAAGGCCGCAGCACCCCCCAAAATCAAAGCGACTTTTTCCGCTGTTCTTCCAAAAAGGCGGAAACAACCCGAGGTTGGTGTGCTTTTCTCTCAGAAAGCCGAAAAAGACACCTTTTCTTCTCCCAGAAAGCCGCAGCACAGGTGGGTTCTGGACAAGCCCCCGGTTTTTGTTCTCCCAAGCCGCAGCACATGTGGGTCTTGGACAGTTTGAGGGTTGTTTGACCTTTCTTGTTCGCCGCAAGTAGGGGTTCACCAGCCAATAGGGGTGCATAGGGTTTCAGACGTAGCTTGCCTTCCAAGGTTGTCTTCACGGGTCGCCAAGTGGAAAAATTCGGCACGAGGGTGGGTGGGTGGGTAGTTCAATGCACGTGATCCCTTTGTTGCGCTTGGGAGCCCAATTCCTCACTTGCCGAAAGCGAACAGCTTTGGGCTTGCCCATGGGCTTCGATTTGCTTGGTCAATGTGATTAGTACAAAGGGCTGAACAATTACCAACACTTTGGGTGAGATTTGGAAGCAGTTTACGGGCAGAATGGGGGTCGGTCTCAACCCAAACCTGCGTCTTTCATATGGGTGCTTGGGGGGTGGAACCCATGAAAGGGCCACATCAAGGACTTCTCCTCGGCTTTTGGGGGGTTTATCCTGGGCTTAGGGTCCTGTCTCCGCATCAAGTCTCCGCATCAAGGCACCTGCCTGGGCAATGTGCCGGCTTTGCACAGGCGGGGATTTTAAGACGCCAAAGGGCTGCTGAAGGGCTTGGCAGTTTGAAGGGAAACCAACAGCAAAGCCCATAAACGGAGACAACCATATGGGCAGGTGGTTTTCCGAGTGTACCATTTTCAGGTTGGCTTAGGGACACCCACAGGAAATGTCGTTCTGGGAGTCCCCCAATCTTGGAACATACCCATATGCAGCTCTTTTTGCGCAGAACCAGTACCCTTTGACCAGCCTGAGACTCACCGGCGCAGTGGCTGCTTTTAAGAGGCATTTGCGGAATTCGTCGAGGCTCTCAATTGATTGTGGGGGGTTGCATTGGATTGTTGACCCTTGTGCCTATCGGGGAATTCAGGTTTACCAGCTCACCTCCGGTACCAGTTTTCTTGTTTTGGCGGAGCAGGGTTCCGTTGACAAATTCTAAGCAACATCAAGGGGGACTGTTGTCAGCAGCTAATGCTTACAGACGCTCTGCCAGGCAAGTTTTGGGATCACAGGCACGGCAAAACATTGAACTCATGCCTGAATCATCAATGCGAGTGTGTGTGTGTGTGTTGTTTGTTTGTTTGCTTGCTTGCTTGCTTGTTTGTTTGTTTGTTTGTTTGCTTGCTTGCCTGCTTGCCTGCTTGCTTGCTTGCTTGCTTGCTGGTTTGTTTGTTTGTTTGTTTGTATCCCGTTGGTTGGTTTGGAAGCAACACCTAATAGTTAGGAAGCCGGCCATTCTCAAGCTTCCACTGAGACAGACACGCATCGTGCCATTTGTGCGACGGATCATCAAGGAGGTGGACGATGAAGGAAGTTGATGCTGGGTCTGCTACCACTAAGCGGCCGGCATCCAACAAGCGGACCCAATAAGTTTGTCTTAACCCCGCGTCTTTGAGTGGAGTTCTGGTCTGACATCGGCGCACAAAAGAAAAGAGTTTACAGACTTGACGGATTTTGGAGTTGCGGAATGGTCCGAAACAACTCAAACGCTGCCCGCAGGACTCGTTTTGTTTTTTTCTCCCCGTGTTGTTTCTTGTCTGTTAAACAGAGCGATGGGTGAAGCAACATGGAGCAACTTGTAAGCCAGCAGGAAAGTAAAACGTTGGACGTAGATTGTTCCAAGAAAGTCACCAGCGACGCGACGTCACCTGAGCCACAATAAAAACCCGGGTAGATGAAGATTAGTAAGGGACAATCCAACCATAAATAGAAAGTTTGTCTAATTCTTTACATGGTTCTGGGCTCATCACTTTTGATACCAGGTTTTGATCGTGACTCACCTTTTCCCCCCGCGCGAAGTCGCCAGGCCCGGCTGGGTTCCACTTCCATCCTCAGGCCGGGATGCGGGAAGCTTCGTTGGAACTCATCCCGCGGGGTTTCGGGGGCTTTCTGGCGGGCTTTCAACCTCGCTCAAAATTAAGCATGTTGAACCATTTGCTTGCCTCTTGTTCAAACTGAAGCATGTCGAACAATTTGGCTAACATGGTTGTGTTGTTTTTTTCCTGTTGGTTTTGAAGGGAATCAAATTCACTACTGGAAATATTTGCTTTTAAATTTTCCAGGGGACTTAAGCAAATGGAGGATGTTGAACCCACCCACCTTTCCCGTACTGCACAAGTGGATTTTTCATGTGGGTGGCTTGCTTTTTTTGGGGGGGGAGCCCCCCAAATTGGTGGCTTTTCTGGTGGTTGTTCTTCTAAACCGCCGAAAATGGGTTTTCTCCAGGTTTTTTTGTGTTTTTGGGAAACGTGTCAAACATATATCGTTATACATATATATATATATATATATTAACATAGAAAAGCGCACGCTCAGGGTGTCCTGTTCTGCAAAACAAGACGCACCCTTTCTATTTGTTTAGTTTCATGCAGCACATATGTTGCCCCACCTTGGGCCATCTTTCGCCCGCGCGAGCCAGCAAAATCGATGCTGGCTCAAGGTTTGGGGAGGCGCCCGGAATATGCGCGGGTCTTTAAGTTGTGCCAACATACTGTGGATGGACGAAATCCATTTTGCACCACTTTGAAACTCTGGTTGAAGCCATATGCATTGTTTGTTGGCAAAAAACTGGGGAAACATCAGAAACTTGGGTTTCTTGGGCGGTGCGAAATGGATTTCGTCCATCCACAGTAGGGCGGCCCCAAACATGCACGATTGAAAAAGCTTGGTGGCTTTCAGCCATCTGGTTCCTTGGCTTTTTAGACTTTTTGTGTTCAGTGCGGGTTTCCATTTGACCCACTACAAGTTAAACTGTTAGCGCGGGTTCTGAGGGCAGCCCAGAAAGGACAGATCCACATTGGTTTCTGGGTAGACACTTTCCACACCAGTGGTTTTGACGCTGGATCTCGGGCCGGCCATCGTAAAAGAAAAAACAGAACAACACATGCTCTGTTTGTATGGGTGTGCGTGTGTGTGTGTGTGTGTGTTTTTGTGGTACCCCTTTTTTGGGGTTGGTTTCAAGGGTTGGCAAAAGGGGCAAAACGACAGTCTTTTTTGGCGTCCCCCAATTTCGACACATACCCATTTCCGTTTAGTGTTTGAAGGGTGGTTCCCTTGGTTCCCCACTTCGCAGGATCAAATCGCAGGGCTGGTCGCACACACTCGCATCACTTGTTGGGAAAAGTTCGGTGGTCGGGGCGCTTCGGTATCAGGCTTTCCTTCTAGTCACTTCAGAGGATCCCTCGGCTCCCGTGGACAGGATGAGGAAGCATATCCTGTTTAAGCATGGCTCCCTGTTTTTTTTGAGGAAGCATTTTATTACTAAGCCACCAGCTTGATTACCTTTTGCTGTTCAAGTTTTGGTTTAAGAACTGGCTGGTGACCTACAATAGTGGATTGTGACCATGGCTAATAGCTTCCATTTGCGTTTCAGTATACGTTTTATTTTCTCCTGTTGGTTTTAAAGGGAATGTATGACTGCTGGCCATATGTTTTTGTTTTTTTTGCCAGGGAACTTATGTAAGCAAATGGAAGCTAGCCACTTAATGTTGTCCTCGGATTGGTAATTCTTACTATTGGGGGGGGTGGGGGTCCGTCCAAAAGTGGGCGGAATCCCCACTAAACCCAGAAATGGACACCTCCCTATGAATGGTCTAGAAACCGTTTTGGATGCGCCTTTTGTGGATTTCGCCTGTTCTTCCCCCTGTTGGTCCTTTTTTGGTAGTCTTTTAGTACTCTTTTGACCTTTTACAGGGGTGGAACCACAAAAGCCACATCCAAACCGATTTCCAGAACTGGGTTTACCAACCCGGAATCCCATTACTCCGTCTCCTTCTGAAGGGTGCCGTAGGGGATCCGTTCCGCATGCTTCAGGCTGCCTGGGGACGCGGCGAACCGATCCTTGAGCCGGCCGCGCGCGAAGCAGGATGCGGTCTGGTTGCAGGCCCAGATTTACTGGTTAACTATGGTTAACCAAAGGAAAACACGCTCGGGGTAGCTTTCTTTTCAAGATGGTTCTGCTACCTGTTTTTGTTGGTGGTTGTCGTAATAAGCCCTATATAAACCTAAACATAGCCCGGGTAGCAAAATTTTCTCAGGCAGCCAAAGCAGCTCGACATCTGCAACTGAGATGGAAGCGATGGGCTATGTGGATGTGGCGAAGCTTCTGGAATCTTTCACGCCAGACGCCATCAGTGGGCGCCTGCGCGCAGCGCCGGTGCGTGCCAGTCATGCGCTGGCAAGATGGTTTTTTGCCCAGTATTCTTGGCACGAGAAGATGCCGCAGCATGTTCAGAAGCAACCTTTTGAGGGGGATCCCTATGAGACAGACCCGCCAAATTCCAGAACTTTTTGGGGTATCCTTTCTGGATTGAACATCTTCAAGCATTGCAGTGGGGTGATTCAAACCATTGATCCTAGTGCCATGGTCAAAGGACCGATTCCTTTACTTGGGATGGTACCTGGCAGTACCTAAGGATCCTTTGAATTGAAACAAAGATTCCAACTAAGGGACAGAACCATGATCCACTCGGCCAAACGGAATTTTGACCATGGCTATATGGTTTTTCTCAACAGCTTTCCCAGCAGGTTCGATAGACCCAGTTCCTTTGCTCCGTTCCGGATGAGGGGCTTGCGGGTTGGGACACATTTTTCTGTGGGCGTTTCCTGGACACATTGATTTTTGCAAGCGGTTTGAAGCGGCAGATGATCATCCGAAAATGCGTGGTGAACCAAGGTGGCTCTATGCTTGACAGGGGCCAAAACCCGTAGGCCGCAGGACTTTGCGTTTTCCACTTGCGCCAGGATTTCTGACACAATCACTCCAAGCGTTCAATTGTCTTCTAAGAATGTTCACTTGTTGGTGTCAAAAGACAGATTAAAGTACGTCCTCGCCAAGTATGACTGGACCCTTAGGGTCCCTAAGGTAAAAACAATGACAAGCTGACACAGTGGCTGTGGTCGGCGTTGACCAGGTTTTTTGGAAACCTTTTGAGCCGCCCATGCCCGCAATTGGGCCCTTTTGTGGCCCTTCTGTTGGACGGAGAACCTTGCAGTGGCTTAGGCGTGTTTTTGTTGTTTAAATCTTGGTTGTTTGACGATTGTGTGGTACGTCCCATTGGCCTTCTCTCTGAGAGGCTTTAAGGTTTCACTTCGAACATGACCTGATGCGAACGCGAGAGGCTAAACTGTTGGTTTTAGTGGAATCTATCACTACTGGAAATATGTGTTTTTGTCCGGAGGACTCAAGCAAATGGAAGCATGCAAGACAAACCTAAATTTCCCCACAACCTGGGTGTGTCTTTCAATAGGGGGACCCCCCAAAAAAATGTGGAGGGGTATTTATTTTGGGATTTTTTTATTTATTTTTTTTTCGGATTTTTTGTTCTTTTCGCTTTTGGATTCTTGGCTTCTTGGCTTCTTGGCTTCTCGGCTTCTCGGCTTCTGGGCTTCTTGGCTTCTTGGCTTTTCGGCTTCTTGGCTTCTCGGCTTCTGGGCTTCTAGGCTTTTCGGCTTTTTGCTGGTTTATGCGGCTTTTGGTGGCTTTTTAACTTTTCGCATCCTCTGCATTCCCAGTTCCTCTTCGGCAGGTGGCGTTTTTCCGACATCATGGGGGGGGCTGCCGCCCCCCCCAACCCCCCCGCTACGTTTTAGATTTTCTGCAGAGATTTAATTAGTTGCACCCCTAGTTGAATCATCAATTCTTCGAACATCATGGGGGGATTGCACCCCTAGTTGAATCATCAAGTCTTCGACCATCATGGGGGGGGCTGCCGCCCCCCCCAACCCCCCCGCTACGTTTTAGCTTTTCTGCAGAGATTTAATTAGTTGCACCCCTAGTTGAATCATCAATTCTTCGAACATCATGGAGGGGTTGCACCCCTAGTTGAATCATCAATTCTTCGACCATCATGGGGGGGGGCTGCCGCCCCGCTACTTTTTAGACTTTTTGCAGAGATTTAATTGCACCCCTGTTCGAATCATCACTACCCCGCTCTGTTTTTCTTAATTGTTTTTTGTATTGTTTTGCTGGGATTGAAATGCCCTCCTGTTTGAAGCATTATTGTTTTCACCCCGTCAACCCGCCAGCTACATTTTTGGATTTTGTTACCCAATTTGTTGGTGATGCTAGGGATGTTGGTCGGACATGCGGGGGATGTTGAAAACGATGCTGGGGATGTTGACGAGCTAGTGTAAAATGCGTCAATTTCGCGAGAAACTGCTGTAAAATACGACATGTTGCTGGCCCGCACGAAAAACGAAAAAAAAAAAAAAAAATAATAAAAAAAAAATCCGCACCCAAAAAAGGTGGTTGTCCTCTTGGTTTTCCTTAAAGATCAAGATGCAAGGGTACCCTCAACAAAAAGAGACACCCACATGTCCATCACTAGTTCCATGAGGTTCATTTGGGCAACCGCCTGTTTCGATTCGCAGGAGGATGCGCGGTACGTGACGCCTGGCAACTGCATGACGGCTGCGTCTCTCAAGGAGTGAGCTGGGTTTCGACCAACAGGGATCAGTATGCGGTTTTAGTTGTTTTTTCCTTCTTTTAGTTTTTCTTTCCTCAACAGCTGAAAGATAGCGGAAAGCTATGAGGTCTTTTACCCAGCTTTCAGGGAGGGTTCCGGAGGGTTCCAGGGGGCTCCGGTTCCGAGCATTTTTGTGGGTGGCTGCAAAAACATAAAGTTTGCTGCTGACCTGCCAAGGATCGAAAAGTCAACCCTAAGCCGAGCAACCTTGCCAAATGTGATTGGGAACTGGGTTGCCATCAAGCACTCGTTAAAGTGCTTCCAGGCGTTTCGCCACTCTAGTAGGTAACCAGGGATCCTCTAAGTTTTGCGTCATGGAAAAACCGCCCTGGTTACCTACAGTGGCAAACAAAGGCCTGCGAGCACCGGGCAGGCAAGAATTAACCGGCAAGCGGGCAGCTTGTGTGAGTGTCTTTTTCAACGTGTTCCTTGAATCAACTTTGGGGGCCTCCATGACCTGAGAAAATGGAGTCATTACATGTCATTACCCAAAATAATGGTTGGTCATTGACCCATTCTTAAAGGGTCAGAAGGAGACTCCAGGAACTCTTGGGGCTGTTCGTTTTTGCCGGTCAGCAGGTTTTATCATGAGCCATTGGCCCAGCCGCATGGCATTTCACAAGTCCCCGGCTTTCTCTTTCGCAGTGGGGCTCCAACCGCCGAACATTTTTTCGCCGGCTGGGTACGGGTCAAAATTAAACCACCAGGGGACCGCAGGTTTTAGTCCTTGTTTCCATTTACTAGGGTTCCATTTGGGGTGCCCGTTGTTAACCCACACCCAGCTGAAGTAATATATGATTTACTATGGAACTTCAGACAAGCCTGCTCTCTTCAGGGCCCCATGGTAGCTTCTAAGGATGTACTTGGGGGGTGGTCAGTACTCAGTTTCCCCAAATGACCATGAGAAACTTGTGTCCATTTCGTGGTTTCGGTGATTTTCCAAGGGTCATCCCAACCCGGGACAAGTTGCGCGAAAAAGATTCAGGTGACCCATAGGTCAAGTTGATGGAGTTTTAGGTGAGGTCTCGACCCACCCGTGGCCCAAAAGGGGCAGCTCCAGAGCTTTTTCTTTGGTAGTGACTTGCTGGTGCGATAAGGAAACCCCCAGTGGGATGGTCTGGGTTCATTCCATTTCTCATGCCACCAAAAAGTTCGGTCTATGGGGTTCAGTTGGATTCCCGAAAAAAGAAACCCACAAGGGATGGTCTATGGGGTTCATTCCATTTCTCATTCCCTGCTGAGCAAGTTGAAGCTAAACAGTGTTGTACCCCCGTTTTCCCTTTGTGGTCGCGGAAGCCATCCAGAGCGCCGTTCCCAGGACCGTGGCTGGAAGTGAGCGGAAATTCGGTGTTTTGCGCTGGCGGGGCTGTGTGTTAAGTGTTAAGGTCTTGGCTGCTTGGATTTTAGGGTCTACACTGATTATATACCAAATGTTGGATTTTAGCATGGTTGTTGTTGGGAAACATTTTGTATTTTTGCTTATTGTGGTTTAGTGGTTGAAATTCCAACTTAACCGCTAAAATTTGAATTGTTGCTCCCCTTCCAACGTCAACCAAGTTAGGATCTACACTAATTATATACAAGAACATAACATGCACATATGATTTGATGCTCTGTGTTTTTCCGTGTGCCACAGATAGTGTGGATGGGCAAAATCCTGCACCACTCTGAAACCATGGTTGAAACCAAAACGTTTGTCGGTATTTACATAGGAATCATCATTCCAGGGCTTCTTAGCATCCGTAGATATGGGCCAAGATTCGGGTTCGTCCGTGTTTTTGACGCTGCCCTGGGTAAAAGGGAATCGAGGAGGACACAGCCCATGGAGTTCTCTAGAGACAAGCCCATTCTGGTAGATACTAGAGAGGATCCAAGAGGAGGTTAATCTCAAACTACCCCCTACACCCAATACCCGTGTTTTTTGTTGTTTGTGTTTTGTTGTTCTGTTTTCTGGGTAGGATGTCGGAGGTGTTTACCCTGGAAAACCGATCGGATATCCAAAAAATATGGTGTTTGGAGTAGGGCGTACCCCTAGCCAGGATGCTTTTTTGGCACCTCTTTGCTTGGATGTTCAATCCACTTAGTAAGTAAGTTACAATCCGTGATTACAAGGGAAGCAACCCCAGTTGCCCTTCTTATAACCTGGATTGAACACCCGAGTAGGGAGCAAGAATCTCAAAGTCTGAACGTTGAGAGTTGCATGTTGCCTCACATGAAATATGACAGGCAAGCGATCTTCCAGTTGCTCAATCTTTTTTTTTTTTTTTTTAACAGTTGTTTTTCTTCCCCTTGTTGGTTTTAAAGCGAATTTATCACTGGAAATAGTATGTTGTTCTTTTTTCCAGGAGCGAAACATCAAATGGAAGTGATTTAGCTACCCAAAGAATCCATGACCCTAAAAAAATGGTTGGCCATTACCCAAGCAAAAAGGTCATGACCCCATGTTTGACCAAGGAACGTATATATATATATATACATATATATATATATATACCCAGTGCCACTAGAATTTGTAACCAGGGTTTCTCAGCTCTTGCCATGGATGGGGAAATTTTGTGGTTTCCTACAACAGTATAGTGGCAACTGGAAGCACTTGGTTTGACACCAAAGGAATTCACACATTGAATAGCATCAAAATCCACCTCGTTTCAACTATAGCATTCTAGATAGAAGCCGCCCACGTGTTCATCCCCACGCCGTTAAAAGTAGAATTGGGGGAGGGGGGGTGCACGGTTCCAACTTCATTTTTTCTTGGGGAAAGCTGGCAAAATGGTTGATTGGGGTGCCTGAAGCCCCATCCCCCCCTCCCCCCTTCAAGCAGGGTCGGGGTGTCTTCAGGTGAACAAACTTTGCACCCGGATCATTCTCACTTCCATGGTACACAAACATCCTCAGACCCGTGTCTATCAATTCTCAATCTTTAGATGAGAAATGCCAATTAAACGCGTCCATTTGCAGGTTGCCCTCTTGGTCCTCGTGAATTGACATTGCAAAGATGTACATGGGGGTTGATCGATATTCCTGGCCCCAAAATGACCATGGTAACTTTTTGCATTTAGCGGTGAAAGTCATCATTTTTGGTGGTTTCCCCAATGGTCACCCCATGTAAAGGACCTTTTGATCAACCCCTACATAGACGTAAGAAATCTTGACCATGGCTCTGCCAGCTATCCCTGTGCCTTGTCCCCAAACAGGAAATCACAGGGGGATGGATGAGTCCAATTTCCTGCTTCATTTGCCACACACGCACACACTTTTTACAGACAGAGCACTTTGCCCATTGGGGCAAATTATAACCAGCTTGGGGGTAAAACGCTTATCCCTTGATTCTGATGTCAGGTTCATGAAGTGGTAATTTCGGAGCCTTTGGAAGGCATGTGTCTGACACCGCCCATACTCAATGTGGACTGTTGGGCCCATCTGGATGTCACATTGCCCGTGTCCAAAGTGGAGACATGGAGCTATGCCTGGCTCCGGGCAAGCACGGTCAGACCTCGCCATGGCCCATCTTGCTGAAAGCCGACCGTTTGACCTTTGTTTTGTGTTTTGAGGTCCCAAGAGCGTAATCCTTTATTTGCAGGTCCTTGGCGAAAGCTAGTCGGGGGGGGGGGGGTGCAAAAAGTTGTTAAATGTATCCGATCTTGTGCAGTTTCACCTCGGGAGCTTAGTGGCGAGGTTTGTGGGATCGCATCGATTCGGATCTTCGGGGAACTCGCAGCTATCATTGCTATGGGTCAAAAATAGGGCCATCCTAAAGATTGTGTGGTTTTCCCTCTCCCTTCAAAACCACCTGTAAACCGGGGCACCTTCAAAAGACGATCCACGCCCGTACAGACCATACTTGGTTTCCTTTCGTCGACGGGGGAAGACCGTGCTTGCCCTTGCGGAGGTCTCAACATGCGAATTCGCGATTCACAGCTGCACAGAGACAGCTCCAAGGTGCCCCAAGGGTTGTGCAACATGGTCTTATTTGTGCCGTGAAAAAAGGAAAGCAACAGGAACCCCGAAGCCCTTTTTGGCGGTCTCCCAATTTGGAGACTTAAATGGAGACCCAGCGAAAGAATGCTTAGGTGTTTTTTTTGTTTGGGAACCTCCAAAGTGGGTGGGTTGTCTTTTGGTTTCCCTGTAAAACACCCAAAAAGCGGTACCCCCCAAGAAAAGACGAGCCCATGTGTCGGGAAAGAAAGCCTCGACCAGACTTTGAGCTATTTTGTTCACATGTTGCAGGTGTACCGTTGATACTCTAGGTCCTACAGTAGAGAGGTTAGAACAAGGGTACCCTTTTTCTGTACTCTATTTAGTAGGGGAACCCTCCCAGCAAAAAGTAAAAGGGCACCACTGGGGGACCTAGTATTGGAACCCAATGGTTTCCCTTTTTCAAGGGTCGTCGGGTCCAGGTCCCGGACTTCTTCTGTACCTAGTTCACCTGGAGTCTCCTTCTGACCCGAATCAAACATCGGGTGTTCCGCCCATTTTCAGGGGTCACCCCATGCCATGGCTTCGGGTTGGAAGCTTCGGCTCCAGGTGGCTCTGGGTCAAAACCAATGGTATCATCTTGGGGTAGGTGCACCACCCGTTTTAGTCTATTTTAGTGGGGGTTGGATGTTTGCTGGGGGCTAACCGGGCTCTTGACCCATGGCCAGGTATGAAACCCCTCCGAAATTACTGGAGGTACACCCGCCTTACGGGACCTTCACGGAATGGATGGATGACAGTACCCAGTTGCTCAGCGGGTTGCTTCCCTTTTCCACCTTTTGGTGGGGAAGGGTTCTTTGTTTTCTTTTAATCTCCGAAAATTGGATGCCCGATGCCGAGTCTTTTTTTTCCCATGAGCACTGGGCATTGGAGTTTATCACGTTTCGCCCAAGAAAAGTTTCGCCAGTTCCCTTCCAGTCCTGGAGAAATGCCGAACTGCAGCTGGTGGATTGATCGTTTTTCACCCAAAAGAAGCAAATGCCCTCCAAGCACAAAACAGGAGCGCTCGATTCGACCAGGCGGAAAGTCATGCATTGCTTGCCTTGACCCAATTCCCACGGTTTGAGCCTTGATTATTAGGTGTGGGTTTCATGTATTGTAACCTTATACTTGGCTTCGTTGGGCGTTGGTTTTCTTTGAGGTCCCTTTGATAAAGTTGCTTGGGGTGTAGGTATTGACTTTCTTTGTTGCTTCCACCTGTTGTTGGGAGTGGGTTCCCCTTAAGCTCCCTTGTAACTTCTATGTGTGTTTGGGTGTTCATGTAATCCTTCAATAATTGATCACCGGTTGTTGCATGTGGGTGTCCCTTGATGTGAGACACAATCAAAACCAGGGTAGATGAAGGTTAGTACGGGGCAGTCCCAGCCAGAAATAGTTGCGGAATTCCGCCTTCTTAATTCTTGAAGCATGGTTCTGGGATTACGACCATTTTAATACCAGGTTTTGATTGTGACTCATGTTTACCTTTCCGGGGTGCAGAAGTTTCCCTTTGAAGTCCCAGTTCTGTTCCTCGGAGGTGGGATTGCCGGTGTATTCCCTTACTGTGGATGGACAAAATCCGTTTCGCACCACTTTACAACCATGGTTGAAACCATTGTTTGTTGGTATTTGCAAGGAAATCATCATTCCAAGGTTTCTTAGGTGGTGCAGGATTTCGTCCATCCACGGTATTGCTTGTGTTTGGGTGGGGCCATTCTTTCAATCTCCCTTTGGCTTCACTTTCAGCACTGGCTGGGTTTAAACGGATCGCAAACGAGCAGGAACTGGATGACCATTTGCCGTACCCACTTACCAAAGCAAGTGAGCAAGATGGATTCTCTTGAAATCCGGGAACGTTTAAAACGCTGTGTTGGCGACCCTTTGCTCGTGTCTTCGCGCATTGAAAGGGATGTTTACAAACAAGTACATGAGCATGAGTACATTTGTGAGAAGCATGAGGATGAGCACCCCAGGTGCATTGTCCTTCCCCATATAGATGTGTGAACATGGTGAACAAACCTCTCGCGATTTTCACTTACTAAGTGCTTGGAGCATCCAAGTCGGCAGCTTCTTCTCTTTTCCAAGGTTTGTGTGACCAGATGTTTTTTTTTTTTTTTAACCCGGACGCAGAGTTTGTTTTGTTTGGCCCGGGGAAGTGTCCCCTAGCCTCTCTTGATGGCCGGACCCTGCAGCAACTTGCAGCTCAGATCCCTCCGCCTCGCTTGGTTTCTCGGTGGCCATGTCCAGCCACTCGGATGGGATGGCTCTGCATCATTTAGGGCGAGCTCACCAGGGGGTAAAACGAGCTCAGAATTGTAAAAACCCTGAGCTTGGGGATCCAATTTTTATTTCAGGCTTGGGAAATGGTGTGGGATTCTGAATCTTTTGGACCACTTTGTGTGAGAACAGAACATATTTTGATGTGACCATTACAGGGATGACCACTTTGGTATCACAGAAAGATACACAAAGCGTCAACTTTCAATTTCCACAACCGATGCTGTGGGGAGTCGGGTTCTTGACCCAAGTTAATTAAGAGGGAACTGTTTGGTGGGTTCGGGACCCAAAAAGGTAGGCATGCCCAACTATTCTTCTATGCTTTGAGGGCGGGCCACAAAGTTGGAACTGTCATTTCCCAGTCTCAATGCCTAAGTTCCTGGATTTTAAACTTTTTGGGGCTGGAGCATGTTGGTGGTAGACAGACGGTTTGGGGTACATTGACTGGACCGCAAGTAGTGATTTGGAACATGATGATACCCCAAAAGTCTGGAATCGTTTTGCAAAGGGCGCCCACACTTTTGCTACCTGGGGCTCAGTCACCAAGGGTTTCCATTACCTGAACCCTGAAACAAAACGATCTTAGATTAGTACCTGCATTCTCCATGACCCACATCAAACATGGGTTCATGACCCCGTGATTTGGGTCAATGATCCCCACTTTCAAAGGGTCCGAAGGCGACTCCAGGTAGACAGAATAAGTTTCGTGCTAGCTTGTTGGTTTATATAAAGGGACTCCATCATGTGTTTTCTCCAGGGCACTAAGTCAACCTGTTCAAAAGAATGCCCGAGCCTCCCAGAGCTGAAGCCAGTTCCATTTGCTGAACGTTGGGAGTTGCATGTTGCGTCGCATGAAAAATATGGCAGGCTCAAAGACTTCCATTTGATTGAACCTTTTTTTATGTCCCCCTGCTGGTCCCAAAGGGAAATAATTTCACTGCTGGATTTTTGTCTTTTTCTGTTTTTTTTTTTTTTTTTGTTTTTTTAAGAAACAATCATTTTTTTGCCAGGTGGCTAGTTAAAAGGACGCTTGCGAGCTCCTTGGAAAAAGCGATCTCCAGCGGATATCACATGTACCAAGGGGTGTGTGTACATGACTCCTACTGGCGCTTGCTGGTTCTTGGGGTCTGCCCCAAAACTGTGATGTAATATATACATATATGTATGTAACAATGATAATGCTAATGACACTTATTATAACAATGAACATGATTATATATATATATAGCCACGGCCGTGAAAACACTTGCGAAATGTGTTGCAAGCCCACATGTCTGTGGGCCAAGAGGGAAACCCTTGACTGAAACCCGCAGGTGGTTTCACTTTGACTCATAAAACCCCAAAATGGCTTGCCCCGGTAAAAAGGGGAAAGACTAAAAACCCTTTGGTCCAATTCCTGGTGGTTTAGCTTTGGAGCCATTCCCACATCCCGAAACGACAAGAGGAAGAAGCGGCCACACGTTGCTTGGATGGTCGGAGTCAGTAAGTAGTTGGCCGCCTGGGTTCTAAGCCGATAAATTCAGCCGAGCTCAACTGAACGGGTGAGTTCTAAGCGGGTTCTAACTTGGGTTTACAAATTACTAAAGGTAATATAGGAGTAACAAACTTCAATAAGCCCCTAGAAATTAAGATACTGTGGATGGACCCAAAAATCCATTTCGCACCACCTAAGAACCCCTTGCTTTCTCAATGATTCTTGTGTACATACCGTAACACTCCCACGGTTTCAAGCATGGTGCGAAGCGGATTTTCGGTGTTTTGGGCCCCTGGCCCCTGGCGTCTTTGGAGCTTCACGTTTGGGGCGTCCCAGCCATCCAACGCATCCAAGGCCTTGAGAAGCGCCTCTCCGCCGCAGCCGCGCCTTGATCGAAATCGATGGGTGTCTTGGGGAGGGACACTGGGCTTGACACCCCAAAACGCGGAAGAAAAAAACGGCGGGGGCTTGCAAACTCCCCAAAAACCCGGAAGAAAAAGGGGGGTGTCGTTGTTGTTTTTGTTTTTGTCCCTCTCCGGCCGGCTTAACACTTCCAAGATCTTGCCCTTGTTTCATGTCCCTTTTTTTTCGTCATGGGCTTTGCTTTCCACGCCCAAGCCAGGTGTCTGCTCTAAGCACACCACGAGTCAGACAGGAGGCAGAAATAAGTGGCCAAAGCAGGTCCTTTCATATCGCAGGTAGTTTTTTTTTTTAGTTGCTTGCTTCTCCAAACCGCTTGTCATGCAAGTAGTCCCTTTGGAGTCCAAGTTGGAGTACATGTGTCGTTTCTTGCCTGATATGTCTCCCCTGGAGATCCATTGAAAGAGCTCAAGCAGATGTCCCCTTCCCAAAAGCAGAGCCAGCCAGGCAGTCGGGCAGTTTGTCAGTTCTGAAACATGGCCACGCGCCATCCAAAGCAGGGTTTCTGGTATTTTTCATTTTTTCTGCTGAACATCACCCGCTAGCCCAATGCTTCCAGTTACTGCAGTTGGCAAGCAGGGGAAACCATGATGCAAGACCTGGACGTATGTATGGCTACAACAACTTAAAACACGCAGGGGTCCCTATGTTGCCTCCAAAGCACGTTGAAGCTCACTTTAGACAAGTTTTTTTGTTGGTGGGGTGATGTTTAAGGGGGGACAACATACAGGGAGCCCTTAAACATGTCGCTGCGTTTTTTTAAAGGTAATCAGCCGTTTTGGGGTTGGTGGAAAGGGAAACAAAGGAAGCGACTTTTTTTGGGGGGGGTTCCCCTATTTTGCGACAGACCCATGTCTACATCCAGCGACCCCTGCAAAACGGGAAAGCCATTTAAGACACGCTTGCAACCTCAGTAAATACGTTGCAGTCCGCAATTTTGGCAATGGCATAAATTGATTCGTGGTCAAAGCGACTGACTGAAGGAATCTGATGAATGGATAGTTGAACAAGGACGGAAGGACGGAAGGATGGTGGACGGATGGATGGATGGACGGACAGACGGATGGATGGCTGGCTGCGATGGCGATGGCGATGGCGATGGCGAAGGCGATGGCGATGGCGATGGCGATGGATGGATGCATGGATGGATGACTGGAGGGAGGGAGGGAGGGAGGGAGGGAGTGAGGGAGTGAAGGAGGGAAGGAGGGAGGGAGTGAGTGAGTGAGGGGGCGATGAAGGGACGGACGGGCAGGGAGGGAGGGGTGGAGGGATGTAGGGCTGAAGGGGTGGGAGGAAGGTAGGCAGGGAGTCAGGCAGGGAGGGGGGATACATCGATCACCGGATCAATCGATGGAGGGCGAATGAATGGAATAGGATAGAACGCCGCTTCCATTCCCCAGTTCCTGCGTACTCATGTTTTTTGTTCAGCCGTTTGTGCTTCCATTCTGACAAACAACGTGCAAGTACATTCATTCTCAAGTATCGTTCAGCAGAGCTAAGTCGATCTGTTCTAATACTCCATCGTTCTCTAGTCGGAGAGTAGACTGGCACCGATGGCACGGTGGAATCGAAGGAGTGAATAAATTCAACCCAGGCTTTCATTTGCTGAAATGAACATGTTACATTTTCCCTTGGTTTCAAAAAGGAATTTATCTCTGGACATATTTGCTCATTTTTTTCAGGGGTCGAAAAGAACAAATTCAATCCAGGAAAACATAAACTACGCACATCCAGAGGCGATAAGCCAAAGGAAGTTTCGGGCCTTTGAAGGAGCCCATAACCCGTTGTGTTTTGGATTTCCCTTGTGGTGCCGTTTAACCAGCAAGGCCATCCTTTTTGCAGGAAGTCTTTCTTGAAGTTGACTGAGCAATTGACATGATTAGCCCTATGACTCATGACTCACCCTGCAAGCCTAACAGTCTTAGGGTTGAAACTCACTTTGGTTTTAACGTACTGTTCTACCTGGAGTCTCCATGACCCTGTAAAAATGAGTCAATGACCCCATTATTTTGGGCAATGACCCCATTTTTTAAGGGTCATGGAGTCTCTAGGTAGTCATGCTGACAAGCGCCCCTGAGTCCGGCCGCATGGCAAGTGGGGGAGATGCACCCCAGTTTGGGGTTTGGCACTTTCCGAGGATGACTCCATCAACCAGCTCCTCGGCATTCTTGCAACCAATGGGACCATTTTGGGGTAGGTGAATTCACCACCCATTTTAGGTTTCCTATTTTAGTGGTTGGATTGGGATGTTCACTGGGGGTACGATTTAGATTTTGACCCACGGCCAAAGAAGTGTCCTTGCGTTGCGTTCTCAATGCAACCTGTGGCATATATTTGCACGACCTGTAAGAGGACGTTTGTTGTTTCTGAGTCCTCATTCATATGCATGTGTTGGTCTAAACAAACAGCGTGTGCCGGGCTGCTGTTTGGTTGGATCTTTGGACTTCATGCTTTGGAACACACATGTTTTCCCACTCAACAGCCAGAAGCTAAACTTCACGTCCGGAAAAATAGCTATCAAGTTCGGGCTGCTTCTGTGTGAATATGTGCTGGACGTAGGGAAAGGGAGCCAAAGAAACATGATCCTATTTGTTTTGCTTACACTTCAGGTTAACTTTGACCCCTCCCTTCCAACCACCATCGTTTTTAGATGGGCACCCCTCTTTCGGGTTCGATCGGATAATTTGCGATTTCGGGAGTATGCGATGCGTGAACCTCTCAAAATTGGGCCCGAATCACATTTTGGTTTTCCTTTGAAACCATCCAAACCGGGGTCCCCGATTTTTAGAACCTCCAATTTAGTTCTGGCAAAGCAAGCATTTGAATACCCACGTTTAGCCTGGGATCAGATGGGAAACCACCCCCCAACAAAACCACCAATTAGAGAAAAGCTGAAAAACAACCAAAAACAAGAGTTCCCCCCCCCCCCCCTTGCTGTTTTCCCCAATGGCCACGGTCTGGGGGTCTGCGGTTTCATGAAGAGCCTGACGTTTCATGCATGTCTCTTCCCCTCGAACCTGAGACGAATCGGCGCCGAAACAAAAACTGACTTCGGCCCCTGCACTTGCGATCGGTTCGATAGGCAGGGATGAGTTGGAACCGTTTTGGGATTCCCGACAAGAAAGGAAGCCATAGGATGGATGGTTTATCTTGGGGTCATTCCATTTCTCATTCGCTGAGCACCGGCAAGTTTACTCCCCAACATCCACACGCAGTTTGTGAGCGCGCGTTTCGAGATGCTCGGCGACTGATGCCACGTGGTAAAACCGATGGCAACCAGTTCCTTGTTTACCCGACTCCGGGTGGGTGCGTCTTTGCCTCCAAACCTTTTCGTGGTTTCAACGTGGGAACGAGTCGCCAATTGGTGGTTTGGAGCCCGGTGGTTGGTTGTTGTTGTTTTTGTTGGGTCAACATTACCCTCTAAGTCTCTAAGCCCAAACACCCGTTCAACTCCAAGTCCCAAGCTAGCCCGGCTCCAAACCCACCCCAAGCTAAGTTCCCGCCACCCGCCGCAGACCTCGCCCCCCCCCCCCCCAAACTCCACTCGGCTTCGAGCCGCGGCCGCCCGCGCCCGATGCCAGGCTGGGGGAGTCCTTCAAGGGCAGCTCCATGCGGGTGGCCAAGCCCAAGACCTCCCCAGGCGCGCCGCGCCCCGACGCGCCGAATCCGCAGCGGGGGAATCGGGGCGCCCGACGGCCGAGAACGGGCGGGGATTTTCTCGGGTGGCTTGGAGCTGCTCGGTGGTTGATCTAGGACCCTAGGCGCGCGCCAAGGGCACAAGAGGGCCCAAGGGGGGCCGGAAATCACCGTGAAGTCCTAGCTCCCAAAGCAGCCCTACAGATAAAACATGTGGGGGTGGGTCAAGATTTCATAGGGCCTCCAAATGACCATGGGGAATCCCCTGGTTGGGTTCCCATTTCTAGTGGCCCAAAAGGTGATCACCTGTCCCATTTAGCGGTTAGCATCTTTTTCGTGGGTTTACCGAACAGTCATCCCATGTATTACGTGATCACCCCCATTTGTCCTGCTGGTGCGATAGTTGCAGGGAGTGAGAAATGGTTTCTGACCCCAAGACAAACTATCTCGAGAGTGGTTTCCTGCATTCGGAAGACCCCAAACGGATTGGAAGGCCACCCCCTGCTTCTTGTAGGGGGTAAATGGGAAACCATCCTTTAACCACCAAACCACCAATTCAGGGCAATCTGATTATAGGATGTTAGGATTGTGTCGGGATTTGACTGGGACACCTTTGTTATGTTGGCCCTGGATCAATAAACCTGTCCTATTGTTGCCTCAAGTGGTTTGATTCCCCACACCCACAAACACCCGCCTTGACTGGGTTTGATTAATCCCCGCCCAGAGTGGAGTCTCCTTCTGACTCTTCATGACCCCGACATATTTTCTTGGTGGCTCCCAGCCATCCCCTTAGCTTTTTAGACTTGTAGTGTTTAGTGGTTGGGCTTCCATTTGACCCAGTAAAAGTTCGTCACTTTCAGCAGATCCGAAACCGGGCAGCCCAGAAACTGGGTCTTAGTCTGCCAGGCAGACTGGGACAGCCTCAGCCTTCCTTCCACGCTGTACACCCCGGGGGTTCCAAGTACAGCTAATGTCCCACTATTCGGGGGGTGGAAACCCCTCCAAAAGTGATCTGAATCCAACCACTAAAAGGAATTGGACACCCACCAATCAAAATCAACCAGGGGTTTAGTAATCCGGGGTTAACACTATAACGGGGGAATCCGGATGCATCCGGATGGCACTTCGCCACAAGGCTCAGTAAGAAACTGGGGTCCCCCAGCGATCGGTGCCCGACCTCTCGCCCGTTTTTTTTGGGGGAGGGTTCCCATACTAAAATAGACTACGGAAACAAGGGTGCCCTTATTCTAACCTCTCTACTGGAGCACCTCGAAGAAACTGGGGTCGCACTTTGACTAGTTTTGGGGCGTAATCAAAGCCAACAAAGGGTGTCCCTTTACCACTGAACGGGGCTGACTTTGATGGTGACAGAATGGGGCCAGAAGTCTTGGCCGGACTCATCCCAGTGCTTTGTCGGACCCAAAGCTGAAGTGGGCCCAACAAGTTCCAAACCCTGGTGGTTTTTGGTTGCGTTCAAGGGAAACCACAACAGACCCAGTGCTTTCAGGCAAGCCACTGTAGTAGGTAATCAGGTATTTGTCCTGCTTGTTCAAAGACCTAATCCCCAATGATGATCGGATTGTGGCTGATGCGGTTTACGGATTAGATTGCGCGGTTTGCGGATGACGGATTAAGGGTTGCATAGATTTCCCATGCTCCAACATACGGTGTTGACCCGCGCTTTGCAGTGCGAATCACGGATTAGGAAGATAACCAACCAGAACAAGGGTTAGGCGGACTACGGATTGCACAGACAGACAACCGCAAACTGTGCGCATGTGCTTCCTTGTGTGCGCGGATGTTTCGCATTGTATGTGCCGTTCTTTCCTACGGCAAGGTGCTTGTTCCCCCAAGCATTTCCCGGTGAAGGATCGGCGAGGGGGAAATCCATGGGCTGCTTCTTGTTGGGCTTCTAGGGCCCCCAGCTAGGTGCCCTTTTACCGTTTCTTTTGGGAGGGTCCCCCTACTAAAATGGGCTACAGCCAAAAAAGTCGGATACCAACTTATTCTAAGCTCTCTGGAGGACCTAGGCGTTAAGGGGTCCCTTTTCTGGTTTCAAACTTATGGCAGGTGGACAGTCCCAAGCAACCTTGGAGCTATGCTCAATGTTCTTTTTTGACCTTTTTGGATGTGGCTCAACATTAAAGGGCTAGGGTAGCGCAGGTTTTAGTCGTTGGTTCCGTTTACAAGGTACCATTTTGGTACATTTATGTGAGCCACAGCCATTTGTTGCAGTTGAAAGCCACATCGCCACAGACGGAAGACTCGTGACTTCACTTTGCCAGTGCCTTCAGGCAAGCCATCATGGCAGGTCACCGCGTGCGGCTGCCTCTAGGAATTGTGCATCATGGTTGCGCAAGCCCCTGGCAAGCCTACCTTTTGTGGCTTGCACGCCTGGGAAGTGGCATGTCAGCTCTTTGTTGCATTTTGCCAAGGGATGTTAGGACTGAACAACTTTTTGCCAACTAGTGGGTTTTCCGTATTAAACCACTGAAATTTTACCGCAGGAGCAGAAAGCAACCGAGAGTTTTAATGCACTTATGTGTGCGTGTGTCTCTCTCGAGTTGCACTGCCGTGCCTTGAGGCTTCAGAATGCTGACGTAGCACTGCAGTTTCCAGGGAATATATAGTTGAGGCGATACTGCGGATGGACAAAATCCATTTCGCACCACCTAAGAAACCCAGGTGTCTGATGATTCCCCTGTAGTACCGACCAACAATGGTGTGTCATGGTTGCCTAGGTGGTGCAGGATTTCGTCCCTCCACTGTGGGGGCTCGTTGATTTGCAACCGTGGTTACACTTTCTAAGTAGAATGAACATCCACTGGGGACCAGTGTTGTGTCCCTACCCACATAGGTCGGCACGAAGAAGGCTTACGGGACGCGCCCAGGGTGACAGAGACTTCCCAGCGTAAGCCACACATCCCCCTTGGTGGCAGGGAGTGGTAGTTTCCATTTGACCCATTAAAAGTTAAACTTTTCGCGGGGGATCTGAGGGCAGCCTAGCCACAGAAGCCATAAAAGACTTTGTTTCTGGGGTGGTGGCTAGAGAACCTTAGACTCTTCCCCACCCTACGCCGTGGACGTCGCAGGCTGCTTCTCCGCAATTTGCGGGGGCACTCCCATCAAGGAGCGCGAGGTGGACGTGATCCTCATCGGGGCCGGCATCATGAGCGCCACCGCTTCCTGGCAAGAGACGGCGAAGTTCGTAAGTGATGGGCCACACCCTTGTTATGACTGTTAATGTTGCCTCTAATGTTGACCCCCTATTAATCAACCCCAGTTTATTAATAGGGGGGTGTTCCCCTCCAAAAGTGAACAATCCCCACTAAATCCAGGGACACCCCCATATTAATAAACAGGGGTTTATTCATGGGGGGTGTTCATTCTGACCCCTTTCTAAACAAGGTTGACCCCACTCATCGAGGGACTTATAAGTGGGTTGTAACTTCCATTTGCTTGTTATTTTCTTGTTTTACTTATTGTCGCCTGTTGGTTGTAAAAGGAATCTATCACTACTCGAAATATGCTTTCTTATTTTTTCCAGGGGTCTTAGCCAAATGGAAGGTAAGTGGTTGGGCAACCCTGGGTTATGACCCCTTACAAGGTTGACCCCACAGAACGGGGGACTTATGAGTGGGTTGGAAGCTGTGGATGGCGGCGAAATCCGCTTCGCACCACGACATGACACCTTGAAGTGGACACCACACCGTTTGTTGGTAATTGTATCATTGAAAGGGTGCCGGCTAGTTAGTGGTCGGCCACCTGGGTTTTTCACTAATAACGAGGTTAACCTAACCGAATGGGGGTGCGTTGTAACCTAGGTTCGTGTTACAACTCCACGAGTTCTTTCGCAACCCTATATTGTAAATTCTGAAAAGTCTGACCCAGGTTGGCTGTGGGTCAAAAATATGGACTAAAACCTGCGGTCCCCTAGTGGTTTAATTTTGACCCACGCCCACCTCACCTACATTTGAACTTGCTCGCCCGGAAAGGGGAAACACCCAGGATCAAGGTTCGTTTGCCGGGGGGGGGGGGAGGGGGGTAAATGATTTCCCGCCATTTCAGTGGCGGTGGCAAGAATAACAAGTGTGGACTTTTGTGGCGAATCCACTCCGACTGGGACACCAAAAAGGAACACCGTTGCGCCATGTTGGAGCGGTCCCCTGTTTGAAGGATGGCCTTTACTTGAAGTTTGGAGGGATGGTCCTCCACATGGTAGTAAGGATCCTTAGTAGCCATTAACCCCCCCCAACTGGCATAGCACCAGACATGGGGTCCCTTGAAGAGGAAGCCAATCTTCCAGGTACCCTCCCAGAGGTGCCACATCATGTTAGTGGATGGGAGGCTTAAATGATTCCTTCTAAGGGAACCATGACCCAATCGGCCCAAGAAACGAAGTTTGACCACGGCCCATGCGGCGTCTGGTTAAAGAGCACGCCGTCAGGTTGGCTTGATGCTCAAGGACGGGAAAATTGGGCGGCAGCCCTTGTTGCCTACTAGAATGGTTTCTGGGCTTCAGGGCTTCCCCTGGTTGCTGAAAGCACTGGCTTAGACTGGTTTTTGTTAATGTCTAGCGTTTTTGGACCTCCTTTCAGTGGGTTTATTGGAATCCACCACTTGATTGCCAGGAGCTGCTAGAGGATATCCTGTCCATGTTGCAACATGGAACCCACCAAGGTATGTTAGTGGATGGGGAGGGCACACCTCAAAATCACCTGGTACATGTAGAAACCCTTTGAAACAGCAGGCATAGGTGGTTTTCACTTTGCCGACATGTACCCAAAACTTGGGTGTTCGATTCGCCAGTTAGTATGTTGTAACAGCAACCCAGTTGCCCAGCGGTGCCCTTTTTTTCCCTTTGGGAAGGGCGTCCCTGAAAGTCAACCAAAAAAAGGGATGCCGATTCTTCTTCTTTTTTTCCTCCATGGAACTCCACTGGGCATCTGAGGTAACCTAGGTGACCCATGCATCTGAAGTTTAGAAGTCTGGATTCCCCGGATTGGCCCAGCAAAATGCCTAGATCCACAACCGGCCCTTGCGGACTGAGAGAACAAGCCGAGGTGCTCTCAGCCAAAGAAATGCCTGGGAGTTTTCTCTGAACCAAAACTGGTCTGGCTGTGGTTGTCAAAGCCCAACAAAACCCCTGGTGAACATCAAAGTAGTATGGCGAATGGATGTTCATCCACAAAATGGGATCGCCATAGGTTATGCAACCCATGCCCATCTGATCCTATCGACCCGATCAGCTGGGGGAAAACGGTTTGATTCCCTTACAGAGCAGGCGTGTGGCGAAGGGTTGGTTTCTCTTGGGGGCACACCGGGAAGTTCAGCACGCAGCCCTTCGTAGATGTCCCCTTTGCTTTGGGCTGTGGGTTCTACTCTCGTCCGTTCCTGTTTGTTTTATTGCAACTGCGAGAAGTACCTAAGGGCAGTGGATTTACCCAGCCCTTTTGGCAGGCGTTTCTAGAACGTTCCTGGAGGTTTTCTTCGGCGTACAATCCACGGCCGGACATGGACTCAAATTCCGGGGGCCCAGTGCATGTCCCAACAAAACCTACGGCACATAAACAGACACCACCACCAAAAATCCGGGAGGACCCAAAAAGCAAATCCCGAAAACTTCTCGAAACTTCCAAAAGCTTGGAAAAACACATAAACCACCCAGAAAGGGGGACAGGGGCTTCTCAAAACACCCCCCTAACACTCCCCCTAACACTCGGACAAACCCAGTTTCCCCAAAATGAGTTTCACCAAATGACCCCCGCACGCTCCCCCCTCCCCCGGTGGCCTCAGCCCCAAAACCCCCCCCCCCAAAAAAAAAAAAGGTCTTCCCCCCCCCTTTGAGCCGTGCCCCCACTGCTCGCATCCGCATTTTCCGCCTCGCATCCGCATTTTCCGCATTTCCCCCGCGGCCTCCGAGCGCGGCGCATTTCCGCCTCCGCGCGCCTCAGCCTCCGCGCCCGAGCTCGCGCGAGGAGCTGGAGCCGCAGTGGGCCATGATGATGTTCGAGCGCCTGGGCGCCCCCGGCGAGGAGAGCTCCAACGGCTTCAACAACGCAGGCGCCTCGCGGCGAGACGCGGCGAGACGGGAAGCGGGAGGTGAATCAAGTGCGCGAGGGGAGAGGAGGGGGGGGAGGGGTGGGCCGGAGTTGGTGAAATAGATAATATATATATATATATATATATACATACATTGTAATTTATGGACAGGTATGAATGTATGTAGTAGATATATATATATATATATATATATATATATATATACCAGGCCCCCCCGATGGCCGGTAAATGGCGTCCTGGGTGAAGTGCCGGCAATTGACCGGCACTTGCTTAAAAATGGTTTTGTAGTCACATAGACTTTTTTGCCATCATCAAAGTGCAGTGCAAAGTCACTTTTGTTGAAACGTCACTTCAGGATACCAGACAGGATCCGGTTGAGGGGTTGGGCTGACATGTATGATCATTGCACATGCAACGCGCGGGGGCGGGAGGGGGGGCGACACGCTAGTGACACGCTCACATCCCAAAAAAGTGACCGTTCAACGTACATGTGCCGGCAATTGGCCACCCCCCGACACGCCGTGACACGCCGTGACACGCTCCTCAAGAACCCCTCCCAACCTCAAACTTGCCCTCCAAACCTCAAATTTGCCGCTCTCCCCTTTCCCCTGCAACCCCATTCCAAAGGACCCTGGAAGGTCACTTGTATCATTGCACAAATTGCACTAAGTACAGATGAGTGATACTTGCTAGCAAATTGGTTTTGCAGTCACTTAGACATAAAGTGACATCGTTTGGCCCAAAATCGATGTGCCGGCAATTGGCCAGCCATTGGGGGGTGCTGGTAGATATATTTGTGTTTGTTCTTGTTGGTTTCTTCCCTGGTGAGGGGGGGAAGGGGGGGAGGGGGGGACTACGACAGCATTTCCACAACTTATGTTTTGGTTTGGTGGCTCGAAGCATGGGCCGATTTGAAGCGAGCGTCCGTTTGATGTTTTTTTCGGGGTTCGCTTTGGAAGGGTTGCTTTGAGCCTTAAAAGGATGAACAGCAAGCATCAGATAAACCTTGGTGGCTCCCAGACCCGCGAAAAGTCAAGCTTTTAGCAGGGGATCTGAGGGCAGCTTCATCTATAAATAAATATGGTTCCCCAGGGTTCCTTGCCCTCATAAAGAAGGAAGAATGGCCGTTGGCCCTGGGGGACACAGTTTGGATGATGAAACTCCTGAACGGTAAAACAAGTGGTGGTTACATAATATCAACCCCCTTGGTTTTAATCTGGCGGTTTGAACCCTTTTTGGTGGGTTGGCTTTTCTTCGGTTCGCCTTTTCCTTTGGTCGCAAACAGTCGTTAATCCACGGGCGCCCGCACTGAAGACGGGTTCGTTCGATTCGGACCCCTTTTGGAGGGCCCTCCAAAAGGAGAAATTCCCCAGCCTGAAGATTGCAATACGCTAGACCCAGCGGCAAATTCGCAGAGCCCCAAAAAAGTGTCCAACAAACATGGTCCAAGCGGATTCTTGCGAAGCGGCGCGCAAATCTGCGCCTAAACCCTGGTTTGTAGAGGAATGCCATGTTGATGGTGCGGGACCAAAGCTGTGGGTAATGTTGACCCAGGATGAATAAACCCGTCCCATTCTTAAGGGGGTGTTACCTCCAAAAGTGATCTGAATCCAACCACTAAAAGGGGACACCCACCAATCAAAATCAACCAGGGGTTTATTAATCCGGGGTCAACATTATATAGTGGCAACTGGATGCATCCGGAAATTTGACCCACTAAAAGTTAAACTTTTAGCAGGGGAACATCATCAGTCTCCATAACCCTTAAACAAATGGGGCCATTAGCCACAATAATGGCGTCATTGGCCCTTTTTTAAAGGGTCAGAAGGAGACTCCGGGATCAAAGCTTTTGGTACCTGGAGACTCCATGACCCTCAAAAAATGGTTGGCCATTATTTGGGAAAATTTGGTACTGACCCACGAACAGAAAAAAATCTTTTAGCAGTGGATCTGAAAACGGGCAGCCCAGGTTGATTTTACGGGGACCAAAGCTTTACTTGAAAGCTTGCACCTGGCAGGCACCGGCCACGCTGGCTTCATGGAGCCAGGGCCTCATGTGATGTGCAAAACACTGCCGGGCACAGGAAGAGGAAAGCCTCGGAGGGGTCACTGGAAATCTCCCCTTCAAATGGCTGGGTCAAAACCAATGGGATCCCATTTTCGGGTATGTGAATTCACCACCCATTTTAGGACCTACTTTAGTGGGGCTTGGGATATTCACTGGGGGCTAACCGATTTGGATGTTGATCCATGGCCAAAGAAGTGTCCTTGCGTTGCGTTCTCAATGCGCCCTGTGTCATATATTTGCACCCCCCATTTTAGTCCCTTTAGTGGGCTTTCACTGGCGGCTGCCCGATTTGGATTTTGATCCATGGCCAAATGTTGCAACTTGCTGGTGGGTTCCGCAGTTCTCCGCCACGTTTCTGGGGTCCGACGTGCCTGTTTTGCTTTCACCTTGCCCAGGTTTGGGCAAAGCCTGTAGTTTCAAGGGCTCTGGTGGAAAAAATCGGGGGGATTCTAGCTTGCCAGGCTCCACCAGGATTGTGATATGGCAAATGAATGGTAGTTAAGAGATAAATCGGTGTGTGTGTGTGTGTGGGTGTGTGTGTGTGTGTGTGTGTGTGTGTGTGTGTGTGTGTGTTTGTTCAATATATATTTCATGTTTTGTGTTGAACACTTGGGCATCCTCTTCAAAACAGATCAAGTAGTCATGGTTGGATGGGAATCAACATCACTCTGGCAAGGCTTGCTTGCGTAACTGTTGCTTGCAACCATGGGCTGGTAATCTCCTCTTGGATCCTTTCTGTTGCCAACACAATATTGATGAACCAACCACATCTGACCCTTAGGGTTCAACCCCCATTACAAGAATGGTGGGCCCAATTTGGGACGATGAAACTCCTTAGGTAAATGCTGATGGTTATATTGCCCCCTTTGTTTTAGTGGCGGTTTGACCGCAGGGTAACCACACAAGAAATTCTAGGTAGCTCCCAGCCATTCCCTTAGCTTTTTAGACTTTTAGTGTTTAACGGGGAGTTCCATTTGACCCACACCCACCCAACCCACACCCACCCAACCCACACCCACCAGACCCACACCACCCAACCCACACACTGAAAGTTAAACTTTTAGCCGGGGATCTGAAAACGGGCAGCCCAGAATTGAGCTGCTCTCCTCAGCTCAAAGTTTTGGTGTCTCTGAGGGTTCGGCCATAGGGTTTCAGCCACAAGTTGGCCGGGGTTGATGCCGATTCCATTCCGTTCAACCATCGTTCTTTTCCAAAACCGGCCGTTTCCCCTTGGTTTCTGATGGTTTCCTGAAAAGAAGGATCGGAAGATCAGTGGTTTGGATGTCACTTTCGCCCACAGTATCACTTTAGCCTGTGTCAGGCAACCCTTAGGTGGTGGTTTGGATTGGCGGTTTGGATCTGGATTTGAATTCCTGGTTTTTGTGGGCAATGGGTAACTTCCCAACCACCAAACCAACAGGCTCCAAACGGGAGTACCAGCTCCAACAGAGTCACCCCCCCTTGAAAGTCACTCCCCTGTTTTTTTTTGGAAAGCGAAGTCGTGCCTGGCTGTGCTTTTGGGTCCCCTTGTGTTTGGGGGAAGCGAAGTCGTGTCCGGGTTCCCTGCCGGGGGATCGAGGGATTGAGTGCATTTGCCAAGGCCCAACTACACCAAGGAGGTGAAGAACGCGGACGGCAGTCTGAAGACGGTGACCACGGACAAGGTTGAGCCCTTTGGCCGCTGACGGCTTCTTATTTTTGTTTGGAGAGAACGGCTTTTTTGGAGAGAACAGGCTCTTTTTTTTCCTGAAGTCGTGTTTTTTTTCTCGTGTTTTGAGAACCCCCAAAGACTCAAATCCAGATCCCAATCCCAGACAATCCAGGTAGGGAAAGCAGACGAATATTGCACCCATTTGGAGGGTGTATATATATATATATATATTCTACGCCCCCCCCCCCCCTGGTGCCTAGGTTTTGCTTGATTTCAGCGCGCAGGCTGTAGATTTTGTGCAATAGATTTTAAGCACCGACGGATGGGCTTGCAGTCCATCATGGCAAGATCCGAAATGTCCCAATATGATACCCTTTCCAAACAGGTTTTTACTTCAACTAGAATTGGAATTTTGAATCTAATTTGATTAGCATATAGTTCCAACCCAAACAACATTATTCTTACACTTGAAAGTGCTTTACCACTGGATTGAGGACTCAATAGCGAGGATTGCACAAACAACAACTTTCCTGAGAATCATCCATCCTGGTCAAACCCTAAAAATGATCAAGTTGTTCTAAAACTTCGAACGTATAGTACCACTGGATTGAAGATCCGAGAATCTTATTGAACACCGAGAGTATTGGGACAAGCCTGTTTCTTTTAAAAGAAACAGTTCTGTCTGGGATTCAAGATTCAAGATTCCCAGGAAAAAAATGGAAAAAAAAAACGAAAAACAAAAAAACAACAATATATATTTTGAAATATTGAATCTTGAATCCGGACTTGGATTGTTTTTGCGACCAGTTTTTTCAAAAACAAGTCATGGACTTGTGTTTTGGCCGATCCCGGTGGGATGCGACGAAACTTTCAAAAAGAAACCTCAGCCGTTCTTTCGTCGTGCGGCAAATCGGATCTTCTTTCGTTGGCTCCTCAAGACGCTGGGATCGCATGGGCGCTGGATATATGATATGTGTCTTTTTGCCCGAAGCGAATCGACCGAATCTGACCTTGTGGTTTTTCCCACTTTGGTCCATTTTTAGCAAAGGTCCCAAAAAAGGTGAACCTTTTAGTTCCAGGTCTTTTGGGCAAGTGAGTATATGTCTTTTTGCTGAGGGTACCCTTTTGGAGCTTCAGGGACCTCAAGCAAAACCACTCATTTCGGGGGCTTCATGGCGAAAGTCCATGGTTGGACCTCAGAGGCTTGCCGTTGAACCAGCAAGAGATTTTCGCATGTGTCCTTTAAGGGGCGGCGGCTTCTTCGGGTGGTTTTGAAGGGAGACTTAAAGGAAACTGTGGCCAAATTCCCGGGCCTGAAGGAAAACCGAAAAGGCGTCTCTTGTGCGAAACGTCCAGATATCATGTTGCCAGCAAAGACCACTCACGACGAGCCCAAGCTGAGCAGTCACTGGGCCATTCGACCCCGTTCTTGATGTTTGAGCTTAACTAAAACACTTCGAGTCTCCATGACCCCTAAAAAATGGGGTCATTACCCAAATAATGGGGTCATTGACCCATTTTTATTTCGGGTCATGGAGACTCCAGGCACTTCCTTTGTCAGTATCAAGCTCGCTTTAGGGCTCTAAAAGTTCCAAGTCCCCGAATTGGAACCCGAGGCACGTCTGCGAGCAGTTCCTTTCTAGCCGGCAGTACTGGGAATACCTCACCAAGACGGGCAAGCTGCCTGCGCCTGACACTGTGGCTGCATTCGAGCCACACCCACTACCCGCCTTTTTTAGGGCATGTCGATTCTTTACTAAAAAGGGAGCTAGGTATTTACCTTGGAAAACCGATCGGTTTCCAAAAGAATATGCCAAGACAAGATTTGGAGTAAGGGGAGTCCTTGACCGGAAGATCCTATTTCGCATGATTGTAGCAAAGCACAGAACGATGGTGTCCTATGAGTCCAAGACCTCATTTGAGGCTTCGGGGGGGGTGGGGGTGGTCAAGGCCCTCAGATTTTGGGTCTTGGGCTCCTAGGGTATGTTTTTGACATCACCAACCAACACGATCAAGTCTGAGCACATCATAGCGACATCGCAGAAGGTGTTGCGTTTTGCGATGGAAACCCCATGAATGCTCCCTTGCTCATGAGTGAGTTGTTGTGCTTCTTCGCGTCACCCAGTTTGTTCCGACCCTCAAAGCATTGACCGAACAAGGTTCAACAATTGGCAGGCCATTTGTTTAAATTTAATTTTTCAGGGGCGGAATCTTTGGAGCCAGTCGGGTTATGTCTGGTGTTGCCCTCTGGAACGTCCGTGCCAATGCGGGCCAAGAAGAGTTCACTTGTCAGGCTTGAGTAATCACTTGCACCGTAAACTTCAAATGCCCGGGCCTTTACTTTGTTATTTAGGTGTTTTCTTTGGAAAACCCGGTTTTCTAGGGCAAAGACCGATCCCTCTGTTAGTAAAGGGTCGACAACACACACACACACATGTATATATATATATATACACATACATAAACAGTATTACATATATATATATATATACACATGTATATACACCCTAAAAAGAGCGGGTGTTGGGTGTACTTGGATGGCTAGGGACTTGGCTAAGCGGTTAGCAATCCTAACCCATTTGTCGTGGTTGTAAGTTGTAAGCCCCCTATAACAAGGATTATTAACCATCCAGACAAGTCCCAGAACATCCAAGCAGGTGGTAATTTATGGTCAAGCATAATGCCACTGCCTTTTGCTTAGGAAGCGTGGATCCACCAGACCAACCACATCGCCCTTGGCGTGGGCAAGGACTCGGAAGCTCATCGATCCGTGCTTCACGTCTTTCGTCAAATGGGTGTGGATCAGAAATAGGCTATCCCCCCAAAATGGCTTGCCCTGGTAAACGGAAATATGGACAACCTGCGGTCGCCGAGTGGGGCGAAATTTTGACCCATTGCCCAGATGGGAGACCATGGACCCCCAAGGGGGGCTATTTGCTTGGGGCTATCTCGCCTTGTGAGGGCTTATCCTTAAGTCCATGCATGTTGCTCCAGGTCTTTTCAGCTTCACCTTAGATGGGTAAAGCCCATGTACCCTGTTCAAGAACCAGGGACCTGTTCAATTCCAGATCCAAACCACCAATCCAAATCACATGAAGGGTTGATCTTTCGTCAAATGGGACATCGATTTGTGTTGGGGGATGAGTGGATGAACAGAATCCCTTCGCACCACGGTTTGAAACCATGGTTGAAGCCAAAATGTGTGTTGGTATTTACGGGGCAATTGTATCAGAAACCAGGATTTCTGAACGGTGATGCGAAATGGATTTCGCAACCATCCACAGTATGAAGCTGAAGCTGAAAAGGACCACAATGAGACTGCAACTCCCCGCCGGGTAGACAAGCCGTGCGTTTTGCTTTTGTCACGTCCTGTCCTTGCGTTCGTGTGGTTATGGTCGATTCTCACTTCGGGGTCCCTTTACTGAAGAGATGCTCGCTTTTGAGGATCCCTTTCAAAGCTACTGAAGAGATGATCGCTGTTGAATCATTAGATGGGACTCTAAAATTCGTCCAAATCGACTCCTTTGCTGCCCGGCACATGAAGGTGACTCGCAGTTTATGCAGTTTATGGCTTTGACCGGCTGGCATGTCCTCAGCGGCCTTCTTTCATGGTCTGTGGCTGGGGTCTGATGCTGATCCCAGCACCTGGGCATTTGTTGACAGGGTGTTTCTCCAAACCCGATTTGGTTGCCCGCGAAAAGAGGACACGCCAGGAAGAAGATGCACCAGTTAGATGAATCGGCGGAGTTTCCATTGCGAAATGCTGGTTCGGCGTTTGGTTCGTCGTCTGGATCAACTTGGGTTCAGGACATCAGAGAAACTCATTGCACAAGCTGCAGGCACTCACTGAACAAAAAAAAACAGCCAGTTAGTTGCCAAAGATGGAGTCTCCGGATCTGAGCCGAAATAGAAATGGGTCAATGACCAACCATGGTTTTGGGTAATGACCCAATTTTCAAGGGTCATGGAGACTCCAGAATAATGGAACTGGTTGCCCCTCTAGTGCTTAGGTTTTCAGTGGCACCAATTATTTTTTCATTTTTGTTTGGTGGCTGCCCCACTAAAAATAGCCTTCCCCCAAAAGGGTTCCCTTTTTTTCCAGGGTCACTGAACAACTGAGAGGGCACGTCCATAGTTTGATGGGTAAAAAGAACGGCATATTTGACCGTTCCTGTGATTATACTTCAGTAGGACATCTAACTACAATGACTCCGGGGTCAAGGGTGCCGCTACCCCAAAGCGGGGTGTTTGGAGGCGCACCGGTCTAAGTCGTTGCCCACGAAGCCGGATTGGCTTACATGCGAGGGGTAAGAATATGTGAGAATCAAGCAAATGCTGCACACAAATCCAATATTGCTCGAGAATGTGAAGGAAGTTTGGAGGCTAATGTTGCCCCATATTAACCGACCCTAGTTAATGAACAGGGATTCTTAGAATTACTGGTTGTTGTTCGGATGACACTCTGGAACCAGATCCGACATACTCCCCGTAGACTATATCCATCCATGTGGAGGGTAAATAACACCTTCCCATGGAGTGTCAGATCTCGCATGTCGGACGAACTCCCACGTTTCTTCTTGAGGACCAGGTGGAGTTTATCAAGAAGCGCTACGAAGCCATGAAGGCAGCTCGGGCCGGGGAGGAAAAGTGGCTCTGTGCTGAAGAAACACTGCTGAAGAAAACAAATGGTACCCAGAGGGTCCTTGGTACACTAGATTTGAGGCCACCGAAACCTCGGGTATGTTGGTGTAGGCTACACCTCAAAATCACCTGGTATTCAGTTTGGCCAGCATGCGAGCTTTGCTTGGGTGTTCGATTCGCCAAGTTAGTAAGTTGTAACGGTAACCTGGGTTACAACCCACATACAAGTCCCTTAATTATGAATGTGAGCTTAACCTTGCTATAAGGCGGACACCCAAGTACACCCAAGTACACCCGGGCAGAAACAAGCGAATCCCAACTCGCATAAGCAACATGTTGAGCTGTTAGATGGTTACTCTGTGGTTTTACACTGAAAGGGAGCGAGCAACACAACGGATGTTATTTTCTGTGTATTTCGAACATGAATCTCTGGGATCCGTGTCAACATCGCGGGCGACGACCTTAGAGGGATATCATGTGGCATGTGTAGCAAATATCAGCAATGTTCAAACACACCACTGATTCCAAAATGGGAAAGCAGCAGAAGACCAACGACACGGTGTACGCGTGCCAATCCTATTTCAGGCTGGCTGGCAAAACATCGGATGTGATGCCGAGGGAGAACATCACCGAATACCAGGATATTCAGACGGTGAAGGAGTTGGAGTCCAAGTGGGAGTGGGGTTTCTACTCGGATTGATCCCCGCCACTTCGGGTTCAACTCGCCGCTCGCCCACGCCTCTATGCAGTGTGCTACTTGAAAGACAGATTGAAGACGCTCGATGATCAACCAACCCCAATAGTTATGTTAGTTGGGTGTTTCTGTTTCTATCCGGGAAATTGGTTTCCCTGGGCTTTCTAGCAGCCACAAGAGCAGGTCGTTTCGGGTTGTTGCTTGCCTCCAGCATGTGTATTTTGTTTGTCTGTTCATTGCAAGTGGGCACTCTTTTCGGGCGTTTGGTTTTTAGGGGACAATCAACAGGGATCCCTTGAACAAACTTCTACGTGGGCATTCCAAAGCCCAAACCCCAAAGAGGGAAATCATAGGTGCAGTTGGAGCACTTGAAGTGGAGCTGCAGAGGATCGTTTTTGGCGTTTTGCGGTTCATTGCCCAAAAAGGCCCCCTTTGAAGAAAAGCCAAAGTGATCATATTTAAGCCAATGGTGTACGCATGGTTAAACAGGGGGTGTCCAACCCCAGCTGCAGCCCGCTTGGGATAGAAGAACCAATCGAGTGACAGGCCCATCCGCTCTTCCACACCATGGAAATTTGCCTACCAGAGGCCAGGGACTTGCGGGTTGGGTGGGCGAAGTTACCGGAATCAAATCGGAAGTGGGAGTGTGTTGCGCAATGTTTGTCTCCTAGTATTTTATTTCCCCTTGACGTGTTAGAGGGAATCTATCACTGCTGTGGTCCTCGAACCAACTTACCGGTTGGCATTCCTTCATCGTTTCAGCCAAGGCCCAAAAAGTCTGAACATATTTTGGCCAGTCACTTCAGCACGTCAGGGAAGGTGGCGGAGAGGAGGTGCAAAATCGTCTACTCCGAATACGATCTCACTCCCTGATGTCTGGGACTTTGGGACTTGATTCTTGGGTCCCAGTTCTTCCAGTTACCACAATGGCAAGTAAGCAGGGAAAACCATCCATGCTAAAACCTCAAGGCATAGCCATAGCAGGTTATCTACTTTCGTGGCCAGCGCCGCAAGCACTGGCTTTGCTTTGAGGCGTTCTTCGGGGTAGGTTTGAGGGCGGGACGCCGGATAAGTTGCCAGCCATCCCTCTCGGGATGTGAACCCAGGTGTTGAGGTGCGATGTTCCTGGAGTCTGGGGATCGCCATACAACCCTTGGTAGTCCTAGCTAGACTAAAAATATAGAACAATGTGCCAACATGCCCCCAAAAGTCGTAGGTTTTCAATTATCAGTGTGAGCGATGTGTCCGATTAGGACCCGGTGGCTAGATTGATGCAGAGAGCTTAACCTGTGAACTTCAGAGCGCAGCCCCAATTGGTCAGCTGAACAGCGGATTGGTGTTGGCGGCCCCTCATTTTTGTGTCAGTTGCATGGTGGCTGATTTGGTTCAGGCGGTTCCCAGCCGTCCCCTTAGGTTTTCAAGGTTTTTAGGGTGTAGTGGGGTGTCTTGTCAGGTCGAGAAGATTTGAATCGCACCTGCGACTCTTGTGCTAGACTATATCGGACTTGGAGCATCGCAGATGGCAACAGCGAAACAGACTTCCGCATTGCGTTTTGTAGATACGAGTCCATTAGGGGTTCGGGAAATGTGGGGAATCACGACCAAGGGGAGACATGAGGGGAAATCCAGCTTATACCTTCACAGCTTAATGATGAAGGTTCCTTACTTGGAATGTTGTTGTTTCTACTTTTCGAACCTCAGTGGATTCCAGTTGCCCATATATAGTATGACACCAGCTGTTTTCCTTTGACCTACAGAACCAGGTAAATGGATTCACTGCTAGGTCCCCCAGTAGTGCCCTTTCACCCTTTTTTGGGGGAGGGTTCCGCTGCTAAAATAGACTACAGCAAAAAAGTTGGGTACCCTTATTCTATCCTCTCTACTGGAGGACCTATAGACTAGGAACTTGAGTAACTTCGGCCCGGTGGCCGACTTGAACCACTCCCTTACACGCCCAGGAGACGGAGAAAGCCAAGCAGTGGGCTCCGCTCATCGTCGCAGGCGCGCGCGAGTTGGGGCACGCCGCTGCTCGCGCCTTGGGGGTTGGCTGATTCCCGGAATAGCACCGAATCACTTCCATTTGCTTAAGATGATTTTTTGTTCCCTGTTGGTTTTAAGGGGAATCTATCCCTACTGGAAACATTTTTCCAGGGGTTTTAAGCAAATGGAGGATCATCTTGGATTGTTCGGCAAAAGTTTCGGGACCCGACATCCGTTGTCATTGCCAGACCAATGGCCGACCCTTTAGCTTTCCTTCTGGAGTTGTCTTCATTGTTTACCAGCAAAAGTTGAAGTTTTTGCAGGGGTCTAAGAAAAGTCTGGTCAAGGGAATAATCCCCTGAAGGGACATTCAACACGGGGACATCCCCCAATTCATCAAGCAGGAGTAAACAAAAAAAAGAAAAAACATCTCCGGTAACATCCCCCCAACTAATTTATCAGGGGCTGTCAATCCGGGGTTCTCATTATGTCTCTTTTGGAGGGCCTTCTGCATTGGGTGGTTTTCACGGGAAGCCCAGAAAGTGCTTGGCGCTTCCGTGAGTCGTGTTTTGCGTTGGTCTGATTTTGTCACGGTGGTGTTCGAGGAAACCCAAGGGGAGTGTCATTTTGTGTCTCGTTTTGAGCCTACGTTTGTTTTTGTTTGCGGTTTTGAAGGGGAACGAAAAGGGAAACCCAGGCCAAAATGGTAGGGAGGTCCGATTTCTACAGAAAGAGATACCCATTTTGTAGAGCACCCTTTGCGACCGCCGTTTCGGGGGCTGCTTTCGGAGGAATCAGGGGTGAGAGCCCGATTGAAGCTGCTTCAGGCGTGAAACCTGCTACTGGATCTTCAACCAACTTAGCAAGTAGGCTATAACCGCTAGTTATGAGGGGACTAGCCGTGCGAATGCGAACTGACATAGAACCAGACCAAGCAGCGCCTTTCAACAAAGATAGCCTAAACCAAAGAAGCCTATTGGCGATCGGGATGCGCTACAAAGAAGACTGGACATGTCATTTATTCCCGAAGTGTCCTCAGTTTGTACACATCACCCCGTCACAAGCAAGCTCACGTGCGCTTAGCAACTCAAGAATTTGTGGCTTTGTATTTGCCTAAGCATAGACTTTCAACTGGTGTGGGTTTATCGTCCTCGTTTTGTTTCAGGTATAGTCCTTGAAAGCTGAGGGTCAAAGAAAGATGTGGCGGTTGATCAAAAGGGAAGATGATGTTCACCACATGACAAACGTGACCCTTGGTGATTGTTCGGCCGAACGGAATGTTGATCACCCCCCATGTGTCAACCTCGAAATTTCCTACATCATGTCAGCGCCATGGTTTGCCTTTCCACTGTTAGTACAATGATTTAGCAGCCCCCCAGGTAGAAACCATTGTTTGCAAGAACGGTTCATTTCAAGGGCAGATCTCCTGCTCAGTACATGGCAACCCCTTGATTATGACTCAAAGCTTCCAGTGAAGCCACACCGCCGAGACCAAGGATTTCCAAGGTCTGCCCAGTCAAGTGTTCCTTGCTCGTCTTCTGCTTTGGGGAACCTTTTTGGCATGAACCCAGAAACCATGGTCCCCTAGGAAACCAGAAACGATATGTGAATGAGAATGAGGGAATTTTTGCCCTACAAACCACCCCACCCGTGGTTTCTTTCCAGGGAATCCCAACATCAATGACCCCTAGCCCTATAAACCATCCCACTGGTGGGAACCTGTTTCCCCTGTTTCCCAGTTTCCCAGTTTCCCCTGTTTCCACTGGTGGGAACCACCGCTTCATTCCCCGTTTTTTCCCTGCGCCAGCGCACCCATCGCACCCACCCGTTTGCCAGGCCGCGACCCCAAGGAGCCCATCTGCATGACCAGGGTGCCTCATGGCCACTGGGACGCAAAAAATCCCTCCTTGTTGTTCTGTTTTGTTGTTGTTGTTGTTGTTGTTGTTGTTGTTGTTGTTGTTGTTGTTGTTGTTGTTGTTGTTGTTGTTGTTGTTGTTGTTGTTGTTGTTGTTTGTTGTTGTTGTTGTTGTTGTTGTTGTTGTTGTTGTTGTTGTTGTTGTTGTTGTTGTTGTTGTTTGTTGTTGTTGTTGTTGTTGTTGTTGTTGTTGTTGTTGTTGTTGTTGTTGTTGTTGTTGTTGTTGTTGTTGTTGTTGTTGTTGTTGTTGTTGTTGTTGTTGTTGTTGTTGTTGTTGTTGTTGTTGTTGTTGTTGTTGTTGTTGTTGTTGTGTGTTGTTGTTGTTGTTGTTGTTGTTGTTGTTGTTGTTGTTGTTGTTGTTGTTGTTGTTGTTGTTGTTGTTGTTGTTGTTGTTGTTGTTGTTGTTGTTGTTGTTGTTGTTGTTGTTGTTGTTGTTGTTGTTGTTGTTGTTGTTGTTGTTGTTGTTGTTGTTGTTGTTGTTGTTGTTGTTGTTGTTGTTGTTGTTGTTGTTGTTGTTGTTGTTGTTGTTGTTGTTGTTGTTGTTGTTGTTGTTGTTGTTGTTGTTGTTGTTGTTGTTGTTGTTGTTGTTGTTGTTGTTGTTGTTGTTGTTGTTGTTGTTGTTGTTGTTGTTGTTTTCTTCTTCTTGGGGGGGTTTTTTTTTTTTTTTTTTTTTTTTTTTTTTTTTTATTTTTTTTTTTTTTCTCGGTTTTGTGGCCTGCAGGGACCCCGACCTCGATTTGTTGTTTGCTTTCTTCTTTTTCTCAGGTTGTGTAGCCTTCAGGGACTCCGAGCTCGATTTGTCGTGTGTGTTGTGTTCCTGGCTGGTGCGATAGGTACCTGGGGCGATTCGGTCGATTCGGTACGTCAGGTGAGTGGTGAGTAAGCCTGGTTATAACCCATGGCAAGGAGACTTATATCAGAGAGCCATTATATGATGGGGGACGCCGGAACGGGTTTGAATTTCAGGCAGTTTCAGGCAGAAACAAAGCAGCCCGACAAGCCGCATGTGCTGGGAGGTGTGCGCCACCCCCCAAAAAATACACTGCCCGAAATGTTCCGGGAAACGGACCCGTTTGCGCGATCCCCCGTTAAGGGGCGTTAAGGTATACCCATGGCTTGTTTGGGTTATAAGTTATGACCATGGTTACCTGATCGCCCCTTTAAGTAGTAAGGGAATGACCGAGATCGGGTTCTAGGAATGAACCCGTTTGGGGATTGAGAGGAAACCCTGGGTCCCGATGCTTTTTCTTGGGCTCACTCCAACTCGTTCCAGCAACAGCGCAGCTCCTAAAAGTTGGTGCCGCGGCTTGGGAGGCTCCTCCGCTCCTACCTGGTCTTATTGGGGTAAGTCTTTATGTATATATATATATATATTATACGTGGGTGGCTCGTCTTTGTTTGAGGCTCGGTGTCCCTTCTGGGTATGGGAAGGGAAACCAAAATGTAGGGTCCCCCTAGTTTCACACACACACACACCCATATAAACTCCTTTATATCCATGGCAAGCCCAAAGTTAATGGGTGAACTCACCCCACCCACCCACCACCCACCACCCACCACCCCCACCCCACCCCGCCCCCACCCCACCCCGCCCCCACCCCACCGCCCGCACCCCACCCCACCCCGACCGCACCCCACCCCGACCGCACCCCACCCCACCCCGCCCGCACCCCACCCCACCCCGCCCCCACCCCACCCCACCCGCACCCCAACCCACCCCACCCCACCGGAAACCCCACCCCACCCCACCCCACCGACTCACCGGGCAGATTTGCTTTCCCTCGGGCCCCTTTTTGAGGAACGGACGTGGACTACGGAGAGCTGACCAAGTCTAAGATCACCGCCTTCCAACATCTCGGGGGTGCCGGCCTTGTCTCCTTTGACGTGCGCCCCGTGCTTGCGCTCGTGCGTCAAAGCTAGGGGACCTGAGATGTCAAAGTACCCATCAAAATTGAACATCACCCCAGGATGTTGGGGCAATATATATATATATATATAATATATATATATATATATATTTTTGTTTAATGGGTTGTTTCAGCGTGCAAGGACCGTTTTTGAGAAGGTTTGAAAGGGACACTGCCATGAACCAACCATTGTGTGGTCTTCGAAGGTGCCTCGCCCTTTGTGAGGTTGTTTGATAGGGCTTGTGCTATTGCCAACGACACAATCATAACCAACCACGAATTGCATTGATTTGCCTTTCCACAAAGTGTGTGTTTACAGCAAGCAAACCTCTCGGGAGTCCTGTTGGAAACGGCGAAATGCGAAGCCATTGGAGTCTCCGTGAGGTCTTGGTTGTGCAACGCCGCCCATGTGAAGGGGGGTAACGGTCGCGAACCAGTTGAGGCTTGGTCAAACTTTCTGGCATGAATCTCGTCTCATTTGGGAGCGGAGAATTCCGAAACACCGGGGGACACTAGTTGTTCCATGTCCTTTGCAGAAAGACAGCGCCTCACTTGGACCTGCGCTGTTCTTTTGAATGGCAGTCAACTTTCTCACGAAATTATCCAAGACGGCGGCCTACAGCAGCATTCCGGACAGTGGCAGTGGAAGTTGCTTTTTGTCTCAAAATAAACAAGTCACATGGACTGGTTAACTCATTAACATACTCATGGCCAGCAGGACTGGAATTCCACGTGCGGAATCACCAGACTTTCGGGCAAAGTGTGGTTGATGTATATGTGTGTTTGCCCTTATTGCAAGGGCGCACCACCTAAGAAACCCTGAAATGGTGATTGACGTACCAACAAACAATGGGAAACCATGGTTTCAAAGTGGAGCGAAATGGATTTGGTTCATCCACAGTATGTGTCCTCTTCAAAACCTTCCTTATTGCTTTATGTGGCTGTGTTTTGGGACATTTACCTAAATCTGCGCGGAACGTTGCCTTTTGCCATGTTCAGAAGCCCGAGTGGTGTGCAAAAACGAGTCGGTTCATGCGAAAGCAGCCGACTTGAAGTAAACACCAAGAACAGGGAATGAGCTTAGGTACCCGCCCAAAGGCCGTTGCTATTTGGGTGACCTCACCCCTTCAACCAGCAACATTTTTTTTTTTTGCAGGCTCTTGATCAGACATCTTTGAACCATGGCTCAATCGGAGTTTCAGTGCGTTTCTGCCTTGTCAAGCCAAATGTGCCGAAAGCCATCCGCTGCGCCTTCGGACGCTTCCCCCTGGGGTTCAAACCACCATTAAAACAAAGGGGGTTCACATAACCACCAGTGTCTACCTAAGGATTGTCATCATCCAAATTGGGACAACCTTTCTTTTAATGGGGGCAAGGCACCCTAGGCTTCCCCTTGAGTCAAAAACCCAAGGGGACGCCACGAGAGACTCGGCCCGCGCCGACTGAGAGAGACGAGCCGACTCGTCCCGCCGTCCCGGACACGAGCGATGGGAGGTGACTTGCGGCTGCACACGGAGGTGAAGGACTTGAAGAAGGCGCGATCGCTGCGAGAAGTAGGCTAGGTCCCCCAGTAGTGGTCTTTTACCAACTTGTTTGGGGGAGGGTTCCCGTACTAAAATAGACTATACAGAAAAAAGGGTACCCTTATGCTAACATCTCTACTGGAGGACCTAGTAGGGAATGAGTTGGAATGACATTTTTTTGGGGGATTTCCTTAAAGAAAACCAGGGATGGTTTATACGGGTCATGCCGGAATGAGTTGGAATGACCATTTTTTGGGATTCCTGAAGAAAGACAACCACCAGTTGGACGGTTTTTAGGGGTCATTCCATGCAACTCATTCCCTGAGCACCAGCAAGTTATTTTAGGCCGAGAAAGCGATTTCCAGCTCTGGTACCAACCCTGTCTTACAGCTCCCTTTGCTGGTGGGGGCTCATTCAACATGAGGTCCCTTGTTGCCCCCACTCTTGCTTGATTGGGGGTGGTAAACAAATCAATCCTTTAAAACTTTGCGAACGGGTCTCCAACATCGATTCATCCTTACGCCGGATGTCAGTGTTTTCTTGGGTGTTCGTTTCCGAAGCCTTGTAGGTGGAGTTCTCTTCTGACATGAACATGATGTTTGACGTAGTTTTACCATGGCTGAGTCCAACATGATCCTCACTCCCTGAGTTCCTGGACTTTGCTTTTTGGGAAGCCCCTTTTGTGAGGTAGCAACGTTCGGACCTTGTCGGGGCCAACCCACTCGATCGGAAGTGAGCATGCGAACAAGGACCCCTCACATGGCAACAACGTGGACCCACTGAATCTATCGCTACAGGAAGTAATAGTATTTTTCCATCTGGCTTAAGCAAATGGAAGCCAACCTGGACCCACTGAACCCTACCTCGGTTGCCCGGACCCACGCACGCACTCACATCACCCACGCGCGAACGCGCCGAGAACAACGACGGCAAGTGGGTGGTCACCACCAAGGTGAACGGTGCTGGCTCAGGCATGGACGCCGAGCCAGCCCGGGGGTAAAAACCAACATACCCATGCCCAGTTGCCCAGTGGTGCTCTTTTTTCCAACTTGTTTTGGGGAAGGTTTCCCCTTCAAAGTCAACCAACCAAAAAAGGAAGCCTTTTTTTTCTGTGGAAATCCACTGGGCATCTGAGCATGAAGGCACTTTGCTGGGAGCTTCCCTTATTTCCGGTTTAGAAAAGTCCAACTATGACCTTTTGCCCAAGAGGAAGTTGGCATGGTACTGTTCAGGTACAGAGGTTTGCTCCGCTTCAGACCCTTTGGGGGTACTGGAAGATCAATTTCCTCTTGAAGGGACCCCCTAGATGCCAGGTCTGCTGCCTGATCCTTCAAAAGAGCTTCGACCCTTCTTTGGGCCTTAAATGAAGTCATTGTAATCCTTTTGGACATCAGATCACCTCCTGGGTCAGTTTTCAAAAAGTGAGGTTCCTTGTGGCGAAAGACACGCTTTAGAGGACCTCAGGATCGAGATCTCGAGTTGGGTTCGTGACTCACCGACTGGAGTCGCTTTTCGGATAAGACAGATTGGATCCGAGCCCTGGAAGCCGTGTCTCATAGCATCCATTTCTTAGTGGATCCCAGGCGTTTCGCCCCTGTAGTAGGGAACGAGCATTTAAGTTGTCCTTCTTTTTATCGGATGGTTCCCTTGGTTGTCGTAATGAATCCACTGCGTGCACGTTGTAGAATCTTTGTTCACTCCAGATCACTAATGGATGATTTGTTGTCAGGGGACTCAAGCAAGTGGAACATGACATACGATCTCGGGTTTGGGGTCCATGAGATTTCTGGGTCAATCCAGGGGACTTGTTGCAGCTGAATCGCAGGAAGCGAGGGTCCGCTTTTGGAGCTTCGAACAGACGGCCAGGATGGGCCAGGAACAAGGCGAAGTTCGTCTTTGTGGGCGCGGGAGGCACGGGATGATCGGTTGATTTGGGCTGGGGGTCAATACCTAAGGGTCGCCTTTTTCTTTGGCCAATTTTGCTTGGATGTTAGGACATAATAACTTTTTGCCAACGAATTTGGGTTTTCCGAATTAAACCACTAAAAGTTATTCACTTTTAGCAGGGGAGCAGAAAGCAACCGAGTTTGGGGGATGGTTACCACTCCACTGTCTTTTTTAGAAGGCTTTCTGGGTGTTCACCGAACCACCGGGGTTTTGACCCATAGCCATTTGGGCTGGCTCCAAGTTTCCCTTTTCGGATCGGATTCTGGGGAATTGCTGAAGTGTGTTTAAGGAGCCTGCCAATGCTATGAGCATGTAGCCTCCCTCCAATCATGGAAGCTGACCTTCTTGCGTTTGGAAGACTACTTTCCTTTTGCGGAACGCCTCGCACTTTCATTGCGGTTGGAAGGAGGGTATTTGGGTGTGTTTTGTTTTTAGGGATGCCCTTATTGGATGGTTTTCCTTTAGAAACCCCTTTTAGGAACCGTTGGAAATGGGAGGAATCATGGGGAAAACATTCGAGGGAACAACGGTGAAACATTGTTCAAAACCTATGTGAACCGAGGTAGTGCGGAAACGAGCCCGAAGCTCTGGCACGCCCAGCTGCGACTGATTTCTGTGCCTCAAGGTAGGCCCAAAGAAGGGAGTGACAATCAAAACCCGGGTAAGGTTAGTAAGGGACAATCCCAACCAAAAATAGCTGCGGCCGCCCTCTTAATTCTTTACATGGTTCTGCGTAGACCATTTAATACCGGTTTTTGAGTATGACTCAAGTGGAGCCACCCTTTTGTCCTTGACCTTGATGTAATTTGCGAGGCTTTAAAGAACCCATGGCAGAGGTTTGGGGGGGTTTTCGCCCGAACTGCGCTTTCGGCAGATCTTTGTTGGGACCGGGGCAGTGCCCTTGATTTTTGTCGTTGATTTCTCTTCGGGTTGGGGAGAGTGATCACCTCACCCTTGGGTTCGGAGCCTGAACTTTTGGTGCTTTGGTTCTTGCATGGGAAACCACCCCGGCACCAAACCACCAATCCTAAGACCCCTGCCCAAAGAGCTTCCTGACCCCAGGTTTGGGGAAGGTTCTTAGGGAATTCAATGTGTCAAACTAGGGCCCCCATTTTCTGGTTCAGGACGGCAAATTGGAGGGTTCTCTTGTTCCCTTACTTGCAATATTTCAGGCCATCCACTGTACAACCCCTTGTATGGTGCAGTTCCGTTCTCCCTGCCCTTCCTTTAACAGCACACCTTCGGAATCCAGCCCTTTGCTCGTTGTCGAATCTCTCATCCGCTATATATATATAGTTATTCGTCGTGTCAAGATACGGGGGCTCCATGGCCGCTTTCCTCTTGATATCCCGTTGAACCAGGACAAGAAGGGCACAGAGCCCCAAAAATCGAGCCACGCCCAAACAGGAACAGGGTCCTGTACTTTGCCATTGGCTTACCCGTACGATTCTGGACAACTTTTAAGCATTCACAGGCTGATTGTAAGAGAACCTTATGAAAACAACTTTCATGGGTGATGTCGCAAGCCCCGCTATTGACGTCGCGTAGCAGCATTTGCTCACATAGTTTTGCGTGCATGTCAACAATGTAAAGAGTTAAGAGGCGGATATCCGCACGAATTTACGTTTGCAACTTTTAACTGCATCTATCCGAATCCATTCTGATTTGCAGCTATCTCGCCCAACTTGCTGTTGGTTTATTCGCCTTGAATCAAAGGTGTTGGTGCCGCTGCCGTTTTACTTAGAACTTCGGTACTGTTGCTGTTCCTATAAGGCGTCCAAAATCGCACCTTGGAGGATGGTGGCCCATCAAGACTTCCAAGAAGTTGCGAATCCTTAGCAGATGTTTGTATGACTCTGGTTGGTCAAATAGTTGCAAGCGCACTGGCTGTAAGGACTTGTGTCCCTTCCTCGGAGCTGCAATTGCCGTGCATTTCAACATGCGTGGCCCTCGGGTCAGCTGTCCAGCGTGACGCAGCTCTCGATGAAATCACAGCGCCAGCCGCGCAAATGCCTACATGCGTGCGGCGCCAGTAGCCAGTGCGTTCGTCTTATGTTCAAGTTGCAAGCAATTTGACAGTGCATGTCCCGCATTTGCCAGTCTGCTCAGGTAAGTGCTTTGCGAATGCTGTCAGCATCTTGATCAACTCGCTTCATGCTCCGTCAGCAGGTTGCGTGCTTGGCCTGCGCGCTGGTATCCAGACAGCCTGCCGCATTAGGCCTGTCCGATTCCCCAAATCTGCCCAAACTTTGCCCGAATCCTTCTTCCTGCCTTAAACGTACGCTAGGCTGCATTCGGAAGCACCGCGGTCGGCACCGCACACATGTTTGCAGTGAAGGAGGTAATCGGATTGCGCGGTACTTGCGATCGGCAAGACGCGAAAGCACATTTTCCAGTTACCCTCCTTTCAACACTCATGGAAGCGGAGAGATGGGGCTTCCCCAAAAGGAAGGACTCATGCAAAACCCCCCAGTCAGCTTTTATGATTCGAGGGAGGGTACGCCAATCCGCTCACATAAGCCCTTTGGCCTCATGAGTGATCCGCACAACGTGCGCATTTTACATGTTTGTCAACACGCGAGGCGCAGCAGGTTGCATGCCACCTCCTGCAGCCCGCCTTGGCCTTTGGCCTAGCTTTACCCTGCTTCCTACCGCAAGTTGCTTCCGTGTTGGTGGCCAGCTAGGCTGCGCTTGCAAGTATGCCGGCTGGCACTGCGTAGCAGTCTGCAACGCAGGAGGTAGTCAGATTGCACCGTGTCTGCTATTGGAAAGAAGTCGAAAGCAACGCATTTCCCAATGGGTGAACCCTTTCAGGCTGGCAGCGACCATCATCAACGTCGGCGTGCAATTTCAACATGCGTGGCTCGTGCGCCACCTGACGAGGCCTTACGCAGAAAGTAATTCGCTTGAAAGCATGGTGCCAGCCACGCAAATGCCTACGTGCGTGCGGCGCCAGTAGCCAGTGCGTTTGTGTTATGTTCAATTCGCACACAATTTCAGAGCGCATGCCCGAAATTGGCCAGTCTGCTCAGGTAAGTGCATTGCGGATGCTGTCAGAATCTTGAACAAGGAGCTTCATGCCCCGTCAGCAGGTTGCATGCCTAGCCTGCGTGTTGGTATCCAGGCCGCCTGCCGCGTTAGGCCTGGTTGACTGCCCAAATCTGCCCAAACTTTGCCCGAACCCTGCTTCCTGCTTTAAACTTATGCCTTGTTGGTGGCCGGTTGGGCTGCATTTGGAAGCACCGCTGTCGGCGCCGCGTAAATGTTTGCAACTCAGGAATGCATCACAGTGTGCGATATGTGCGATCGGCAAGAGCTCGCAAGCATCGCATGTTTCAATCACCCTGTTTCCAGCAATCATGGAAGTGAAGATGGCTTTCTGGCCATCCAAATCCAAAACCCTCCAGTCATCTTCCATGATTGGGGGTGTGCCCTTTGCAGTCGACACTCAGTCAGCCTCCCGGAGCTTAGGGGCAAAAGGCCCTAATAGGGTCCAATAGGGCCTTCATTGGGGGGCCTCAGGGTTGACTAAGCCAAGCTTCAGTGGGGTGTTCGGAGACTTGAAAAACACACGTTATTTTTTTTTATGAGCTCGCCTTCCAACACTGGTCGGTTACAGGCTGATCTTTGGAGGACCCCCTAGCCCCTCATGCTGGTTCATGAATGCTCCCTTTGAGTGAGCCCTTTGCGGCTGGCACGAACACTTCAGTGAGCCGCACTTGTGCGCGTGAGACCAAGCTCGGCCGCACAAGCGCAGTGTGCATCAGGCAGGCTTCGTTCCAGGCACCTGCGCCCGTGAGCAAGCGCCCTCGCTGTAGGCCTACCGGCCTATTCCTGCTTCCTACCCTAGGCCCCCCAGTAGTGCCCTTTTACACTTTTTGGGGGGAGGGTTCCCCTACTAAAATAGACTACAGAAGAAAGGATACCCTTGTTCTAACCTCTCTACTGGAGAACCTAGTACCTTTACCATGCTGAATATGAGCTCATTCAGTGGTGGCCGGTTTTTGGCGGCAGTTGCAGGCATTGCGGCTGGCGCTGCGCAGATGTCGAGCAAAATGCAGGTAGCAACCAGTGTGCGCCGTATTTGCCATAAAAGCAATGTGAAAGCAAAGCGGTTCCCAGTTTTGCCGATCCGCTCGGGTGAGCCCTTTGCGGTTGGCATCGAAAGCTTGTTCAATGAACATCACAACATGAGCATTTCACATGTTTGGCAGAACTCCGTGTGGGTATGGCTCAAAAAGCCGGTACCAAAATAAACCAAAATGGAACCCTGGTAAGTGAAAACATGGACCAAAACCTGCGTAGCCCTAGCTCTTTAATTTTGAGCCACGGCCAGGCCAGCCTTCGCCTTCAAAGCTGACTGTCTTTGCCTCTCCAAGCCTCGCCCACACCCGGCTTCCTGTCCTAGTCCATTGCTGGTTAGCTTGCATGTGCAAGCGTTGTGGCCGACGCTGCCTAGAAGATTTCAGGTGAGGTGATGATTGGTGTGCCCTGTATGTGCAAATTGAACCCCACAGATTCCAAGTATCTTCCAAGGAGGTACTTAGACTCCGTTTTACCCCCCAAAAGCCATCCTCAGGAGGTACTTGGACCCGACTGGGAACGCACATCCATTCCGGATGTTGCCACGCCGCTGCAGTTGCCAGCTCCCAGCAATTGATGGGTGAGCCTTGCAAGAGGTGTATGTTTTACATCTTCGGCAAGCCGCATTGGCCAGCATGCAGGAGACATGCAAGGCACGTACGCTTTCGTGCCAGCCCCAGGCATGGCCGTGAGTGTACTCAGTGTTGGTGGCCGGTTAGGCTGCATTTGCAAGCAACGCGCTTGGCGCCGCGCAGTGTCCTGCAGAGCTCGAAAGCAGCACATGTTCCATTTCCGACCCATCCGCTCGGGTGAGCCCCTTGCGGCTGGCAACGAACACTTGATGAGTGATCCGTACAAAATGCGCAGTTTACATGTTTGTC